ACTCATTTTGCAATTCTGAACAGGTCACAGGAAGGCTCATGTATGAAATTCCTACTGGGTCTCTTGGCCTTAGATTCTAGGGTATTTCAATCCCCTTAAAGCAAGGGAGATCAACCTTTAGACAGAGATCAGCAGACCAGAAGACAAACATGTCCAGAAGATCAACCTTTAGACAGAGATCAGCAGACCAGGAGACCAACATGTCCACTGGAGAGTCCTTGGTTCTCATGTCCCTGAGCCAGTGAATCCCTGTGCGCCTTGAAGCTCTTTAATCACAGGTAACTGCCTCAGCATCCTGTTTGGAAAAGAAGCCATAGCAGTGAGACTTCCTCTCCAGTGGCCAAAAGACTTGGGAACTGGGCTGCTGTGTTGGGCCCCTGGATGGTGTGAGGGAAGGACTAATGATTTGTAGAGCATGCCTAAAATGCCCATGTGAAGAATGACTGTGGAATGATTGAGATTTATGGAGATAAAAATGTCCTAGCATGATTTACATTGAGGGAAAAGGCAAAATGATACCTATATGACAGTACATTCCTTTTTTTTTTTAAATCCTCACCTGAGGATACTTTTTTTCCATTTATCTTCAGATGGAGTGGGAGGGAGAGAGAGAAATATTGATGTGAAAGAGACACATCGACTGGCTGCCTCCCGCATGACCCCAACCAGGGCCGGAACGAAACACAACTGAGGTATATGCCCTTGACCAGAATCAAACTCATGACTCTTTGGTCCATGGGCCAACACTCTAACCACTAAGCCAAACCGGCCAGGGCCATTCTTTTTTTTTCCTTATCCTCACCTGAGGACATTTTTCCACTTTTTGTTCATATAGAGTGGGAGGGAGGGAATGGAAGAGAGAAAGAGAGAGAAACATCAATGTGAAAGGGACACATCAAGTGGCTGCCTGCAACCAAGGTACGCGCCCTTAGTGGGAACCAAACCCGGGTCTCTCTGGACCGCAGGCCGGCGCTCTAACTGCTGAGCCATACTGGCCCATTCTTCTTTTTTAAAAATATTTTTCTTTATTGATTTTAGAGAGAGAGGAAGGGAGAGGGAGAGAGAGATAGAAATATCAATGAGAGAGAACATCGATCAGCTGCCTTCTGCATGCCCTCACTGGGGATCAGCCCATGACCTGGGCATGTGCCTTGACTGGGAATCGAACTGGACACCTCTTGGTGCATGGGTCGACGCTCATCCACTGAGCTACACCAGCGGGGCAAGACAGTACATTCTTTTTTTTTATCCTCACCCGAGGACATTTTTCCATTTTTTGTTCAGATAGAGTGGGAGGGAGAGAAACATTGACGTGAAAGGGACACATTGAGTGGTTGCCACCCGCACGACCCCAACCAGGGCCGGGGACAAACTGCAACCGAGGTACATGCCCTTAGCAGTAACCGAACCAGGGTCTCTCTGGACTGCAGGTCGATGCTCTAACCACTGAGCAAAACCGGACAGGGCAAAACAGTACATTCTTATGATGAAAATTAACGATGCATTAAAACATTAAAAATATAGACACAAGTTAACACCATAGAAGAGAACTTTGTTTCAAAATTGTACCAAGCTAATGGACACCTAATAATAAAAAATTGAAATTTTTGTTAGTCTTAGATTTTGTTAGTCAAGATTTCTTTCTAATCATTGCTAAAACTCATTTAGGTAGATGGGGATCTGACAAGTGCCTTACCATTGTGGTCACCCTTATTACTTCCAGTTAGCTTCAAAGAAAAAGAAAATTAAGTTTTCCTGAGTAAGAGCCTAGCAGGAGCTTAAAGGTGGAGAAGATTTAGCTGCAGAGGGCCGGTAGGCAGGTACCTGGCATCTTCCCTTTCCTTGACTTCATATCCCTCTAGCTTCCAGAAGAGCGTACATTTAGCCTTTTTGGAGATCAGTGCTTGTGCAAAAGCCTCATCCTTCACTCCTGAATGTAAGGAGGAAAAAGAACTTTATCACTTGGAGAAAACAAAATGTATTCAAAGTCTTTGCCAGTTGTTTGAAAATGTAGCATGTCTGCCCGTGGGCATAATTATAACTTATCTATTTAATCCTACTGTGGGCCAAGTACCCACCTACGTCTTTTTGCACTGCATTGTCTCCCTTCTCACAGCTAATGCTTTGAGGTAGATGCTATAATTATTCTCATTTTACTGACAGATATGAAAACTGAAGTATGGAAAAGTTAAACAACTGGTCTAGCCATACAGGATTCATGATGCCCCAAAACTGTAAGTGACAGAACAGGAATTTGATTCCATGTCCTGGTGGCTCCAGAGCCATTAATTATTAGAGCAGTTTCTTTCAACCAGGGGTGATTTTGTCCCCTAGGGGCCATTTGGCACTGTCTGGAGACATTTCTGGTTGCCACATCTAAGTGGGTGACTTCTTACCACAAGATCGGCAGGAAGACAGGAGCAGACAGAACCTAAGGGAAAAAAGAGAAAGAGAGAGAATATAGTAGGAAACACCAAGCAAGTCCCCAAGGTGGTGAACCTCAACTGCAGGGGCAGATAGAGGCAGTAGATAATATGCAGGTGATGTGCAGACTCAACCAACTAAGTTGGTAATGTAGTGACTGGCATTTGGAAAATACCTATGTAGAGTCTGCAATTTGTCACATTTACCGCAAGGCCACTGTGAGATTTTTATCTGTTTAATGAGCTTGCTCCGAGTACAGTGCTCACCACTGAGGACTTAATTTTACTAAAAAACAGAAAGCAAATTTTAAATTTGTCCCAATTCTCCCAATTTTGAGAAGAGAGGCCAAAATGGAAGCCCATACACCATCCCAAAGGTTTTCAGGACACCGAAACGACGCGTCTGACCCACGTAGCTTATTAACAGACTACAATGGCATGGCAATTAATTCCATATCAAGCCAAAACAGCACAGAGATCCTTCTAAAGAACAGGCATAAACACTAATCCACACAGGTTAACAAAAAAATCAGTAACAAATGTAGAAATAAATATCTAGCTCCCCACCCGAATTAATAGTCTTTTTTAGGGTGGGGCGACAATTAGAGACAAAGTGTTGCTTTCCCAAGTATTCAGCTACGGAGAAGCCATAATATCAATTTTCCCCGTACTGTAGGGGCTGAGGAACCCAACAGAGAACTGTAAACGCAGAGAATCCCCAAAAGATGGCAAAGCCGCTGCACTTGCCCGCCCCGGCTCCAGCTCAGGCTCCGCCCCGTATCCAGCTCAGGCTCCGCCCCGGCTCCAGCTCAGGCCCCGCCCCGGCACGGGGTGACCCCGCCCTTTCCGGCCCGCCCCCTAAGGCCCCGCCTCATTTGCTTCTGGGTCCTCCCTGCCGTTCCCGCGTGCACTGAAGATGGCGGCCGCGGTGGGAAGGTTGCTCCGGGCTACGGTGAGTGGCTGCCAGCTGGGAACTAGTGCGGAGACACTGGTGGCTCCGAGAACGTGCATCCCAGACAAAAATCCCACTCCTTTGCCGTCTGGGGGCTTTCGCTCTTCTCGAAGGATGTCAGCTGGTAACGGACCCAGGGGCCTCCTCTAGGAAAGGCTCCATGCGCCTGCGTAGAACCCCCCTCGCCCCGTGGTCCTTTCCCCTAATCCCTGCTCGCTCGGAGTCCCTTGTCCCCATTCTTCGCTCCACCTGAGGACAAGGTCCCGGACCTGGAGGCGGATGACTTGCTCCAGGTCCCAGTTCTGTAACAGATTCTGTGACCTTGGAAAGTGACTTCGCTTTTCCGAATGTCAGTTCACTTTTTTTTTTTTTATCCTCACCTAGGACATTTTTTCAGTTTTTGTTCCGATAGAGTGGGAGGGAGGGAGTGAGAGAGAGAGAGAGAAACATCAATGTGAAAGGGGCACATCGAATGGCTGCCTCCTGCACAACCCAACCAGGGATGGAGCCAAACTGCCACCGAGGTACGTGCCCTTAGCGGGAACGTACCCAGGTCTCTCTGGACTGCAGGCCAACGCTCTGACTGCTGAGCCAAACCGGCCAGGGCTCAGTTCACTTTCCTTAAGATAGAAAGAATGATGCCTATCTCAAGGCGTGGCAGTGAGCATCCATCCACTGCTGAATGGAAACCAAGGAGCTAAAATTCAAAAGAGATCTTTCTCCTCTCACCCCCATGCCTGCCCCTATGCTTTTCTCCTGGCAACGCCTACTATTCTCTTGCTACCCACCCTCCCCTTTCTCATGGCGGGGTTCAACGCAGGCTCTTCTTCCTGAGTCATGCTGAGCATTCAAATTGAGCAAACATTTCCCTTGAGCTCTGTCCAAACTCTCCTGGAGGCTGAACTTGGTTTGTTTGTGGGCTGGAAGGGCCTTGTCTTTTCTAAGGGAAACCTTGACATGGTAGACTGTCTCAGCATATCATTCTGGCAGAAAGGCTAAGTACATGGGGCCTTGCCAAGTCCCCTTGGTTTTTGAAAACTCTGTTGCTTTTAAGAGCACTGCTTCTTTATGGACTTATAATTCCCCTGCCCCTTGCCGTCTTTTTTTGTTTAATTTATATATTTAAGTAAAAATTACATATGTTTAAGATGTACAACATGATTATTTGATATACGTATACTTAAATGATCGCTACAGTCAAACTAATTAACATCTCCCTTCACGTAGTAATGTTTTTGTGTAGTAATAAGTGCACCCGAAATCTGCTCTGCTGGCATATTCCCAGTGTTCAGTACAATATATATATTTTTATCCTTACCCGAGGACATTTTTGCATTTATATTCAGATAGAGAAGGAGGGAGAGTGGGAGGAAGAGAGAGACACACTGAATGATTGCCACCCACATGACCCCAACCAGGGCCAGGGACAAACTGCAACCAAGGTACATGTCCTTAGCGGGAACCGAACCCGGGCCTCTCTGGTCAGCGGGCCGACACTCTAACTGCTGAGCCAAACCGGCCAGGGCGGTACAATATTATTCAGTATAGCCATCATACTATATATTCTCTAGACTTCTTCATCCTACATAACTGCAACTTTGTACCCTTTGACCAACATCTCTTGCAGTTTTCAAGGAGAAGGAAGCAGGAGGGAATGTTAAGAACGTGGAGACCCAGCCCTGGATGGTGTGGCTCAGTTGGTTGAGCGTCCTCCCATGTACCAAAAGGTCACTGGTTCCATTCCCTGGGGAGCACATGCCAGGGGTTTCAGGCTCAATCCCCAGTAGGGGAGTGTGCAGGAGGCAGCTGATCAGTGTTTCTCACATCTATGTTTCTCTCCCTCTCCTTTCTTCTCTCTTTAAAATCAATAAAAACATTTACTTTTTAAAAAAGAACATGGAGACCCAATCCATGCTCTTAGAGTGTTGGGTTTGGTAATTGGTTCATAGGAATAAGACAACTGAGGCCACCATTGGCTTATGCCCTTTTGGCAGGGCCAGCCTTTAGCCACCATTCCAGGACTACTTTCTAATATAAAGTGTTTCTCTTACCAGGTTGCCCGACATGTGAGCACCGTTTCTTGGGGCAGCTCCGCCTCTGCAGCCCTTAGGCCTGCTGCTTCTCGAAGAACATGCTTGACAAATGTATTGTGGTCTGCTGCCAATCAAGCAAAATGTGCCTTTAGCACTAGTAAGTGTTATGCCTGGTTTTGACCCAGGTAATGGAAACATGAGTCATCATCTCTGGGCAGGGCCTCTGAACCTGGCTATACATTAGATTCACCTGGGGAGCTTTTATTTATTTATTTATTTATCCTCACCCAAGGACATTTTTGCATTCATCTTTAGACAGAGCGGAAGGGAGAGAGGGAGGAAGAGAGAGAGAAACATTGATGTGAAAGAGACACATCGAGTGGTTGCCACCCACATGACCCCAACCGGGGCCAGGGCCAAACTGCAACCGAGGCACATGCCTTCAGCGGGAACCAACCCGGGACTCTGGTCCGTGGGCCGACGCTCCAACCACTGAGCGAGACCGTCCAAGGTATCACCTGGAGAGCTTTTAAAAACACCCCTGACCCAGTCCTACCCAAGACAAATTAAGTCAACCTCTGGATTGAGACCAGGACATCGGTATTTTTTTCACATCTCACCAAGTGATTCTAATGTGCACCAGAGTTGAAAGTTATAGGCAAACTGCCCTTGTGTCCTATTTCTTCATTGGTTACAAGAGGTTCTCATCCTCTGTTGAGGAACATTGGGGAGGGGTGGGGAAGAAATGACTCAGATGCCTTTGGTGGCCTGAAGGGGTGTAAGGTAAGTGGGCAAGGCAGGCAGCCTGTTGGGAAGTGAGGCTTTTCAATGCAAACCTATGTGCTGGCTCCATCTGGCCCTTTAGACCACTGACGCCATGATCTGAGTGAAGCATGGCTATTTCTTGAGAGTTATACTCCACTTTGTAGAATATGGGCTTTGCTGAGATTAGCCTCAGATAATGAGTGGTATTTGAAAATGCCTCCTTTAAATTTGGCTCACCTTTTAAAAAGCTTATAATGGTTTGGGGGATATACTTTAGCAAAGCCTTTGTATACAGGTGAAATGTTCTAAAAAGTTTTACAATTGTACCACCCTGGAGCATTAAACATTTTCTAGTGGTGATGTGATGCCACAGATTTAAAACTGTCTTTGTTACCTGTCCCAAACTCCCACTCCCAACAGTTCCTCTTGTCTCTGAGGGCCAGACACGTGACACGTGATCTCCTTTGTCTCCTGATCTCCTTTGTTCCTTCCCAGATAGAATAGAAGCAAGTCCTCTTGAGTTCTGACACATCTCTTGAATTCTTTCCTTTCTTCCTGGTCTTTCTGCCACACCCTTCCCCTCCATGCTTCTCACTCAGATAACTGAAATCTCCTCCTAACATCAGTCTCCCCTCCTAGTGTTCCCCTTACCTTCCCCTGACAGACTAATCTTCCTAAGAACAGCCTGCTCATCTTTCGACTCCAACTTGAAAACCTCCAGTGACTTTTTTTTTTTTTGGTATGTGCCCCTAGCAGGAACCGAACTCAGGACTCTGATCCGCAGGCCGATGCTCCAACCACTGAGCCAAACCAGCCAGGGCTCCAGTGACTTCTTTTTTTTTTTTTTTTTTTTTTTGTTCAGGTAGAGTGGGAGGGAGAGAGAGGAACAGAGAGAGAGAGAGAGAAACATCGATGTGAAGGGACACATCGAGTGGCTGCCACCCGCACGACCAACCAGGGCCGGGGACAAACTGCAACCGAGGTACGCGCCCTTAGCGGGAACCGAACCCGGGTCTCTCAGGACCGCAGGCCGACGCTCTAACCGCTGAGCCAAACCGGCCAGGGCTCCAATGACTTCTTTATCTCTTCTTTTAAACACACACTTATCACCCTGATATTTAAGGGCCCTCACAGCATGGCCTACAGCCATTCTTTATCCACCACCCTTCTTCCTTCCACACACACCTACCTTCTCTGTCCTGATCACACTGTGTGATGGGCTATTCTCCATACCCGCCCTCTTCCTCTTTCCAGGTCATTTGCCTTGTCTGGACTTGGCAAAATCTGAACCATATTTAGGATCCGTATCCAGTCTTCTCTGTCTTCCTGAATTCCATCCCTACTGTCTTCAGCCATCTTTTTACTTCCCATACCACTTTCTGTTGAATTTGTGCACAATCTAGCACTGTGGGAGAGAAGAATATTTTACCTAAGATGTACAATTGAACTGAATCTTTTAGTTAATTTATATTACTAGTTGTTGTGTGAGGTTTAAATACGATCAAATAGGCACTTGTTTTAGCAAATGACCAGCTCTCTCTGCCTGTGGTTTCCAGGTTCCTCGTATCATGCTCCTGCCGTCACCCAACACGCACCCTATTTTAAGGGTACAGCCGTTGTCGGTGGAGAGTTCAAAGAACTGAGCCTTGATGACTTCAAGGGGAAATACTTGGTGCTCTTCTTCTATCCTTTGGATTTGTAAGTGTTATTCCTGTGATGCTTTAATGTCATTCTGAGGGCAAGCAAAGATCCCTGCTTGCACGCTGGCGTTGCCTGTCTCTAGTTAAGCTTCTTGTCCAGGGAAGGGTGCTTTCTGAGCCTTTATCACTGATGGCCTTGTCGATACAGCTTACAGCTGTAGCTAATTTAGAAGTGACAAGTTGAGAGGATGGAGTGGCATTATTTTTAAAATAGTAGGATTTTAGTAAGGCTGTTTTATGTACTCTAGAATGGTGGTTCCTGCAAGCCAGTCTATGAGGAAGTTTTTACTGGTCTAGAAGAAAATGAGAAAAGTAAAGATAATAAATTAGTTTTCTTATTTTTTCTATTGATTTGAGAGAGAGAGGAAGGGAGAGGGAGAGAGAGATAGAAACATCAGTGAGAGAGAACATTGATTGGCTGCCTCCCCTGTTCCCCCCACCGGGGATCCAGCCCACAGTCTGGGCACTTGCCCTGACTGGGAATTGAACCAGAGACCTCCTGGTGCGTGGGTTGATGCTCAACTACTGAGCAACACCGGCCAGGCAAAATGAGTTTTCTTATAAAGCTACTTTGTTGATTGACTGATTTGAGAGAGAGAAAAACATTGATTTGTTGTTCCACTTATTTATGAATTCATTGGTTGATTTTTGTATGTGCCCTGACTGGGGATTGAACCTGCAACCTTGATGTATCAGGATGATGCTTCTAACCAACTGAGCTACCCAGCCAGGGTAAAGCTACTTTATTTAAATAAAATTGTTCTTTATTCTTAGACTACCTCCCACCCCACCCCATTTTTAGATATGGTTCTTAACTAGAAAGGTTAGTCCAGTCAGGATGGTTAGCCATTTTGCCTTTTTCACTGTTAAGCAAATTAGTTTTTAGATTGTCTGTTGTTCAGATTTTAAATCCTTTTTTAAAAATTCTCTAATGAGAATTCCTGCCCTTTTTCTCTAGCACCTTTGTGTGTCCTACAGAAATTGTTGCTTTTAGTGACAAAGCCAATGAGTTTCATGATGTGAACTGTGAAGTTGTTGCAGTGTCTGTGGATTCCCACTTCAGCCATCTTGCCTGGATCAACACACCGAGGAAGGTACAGACTTCATTCTCCCTGCCTTTGCTCTCCTGGCTTTAAAAGATCCTATCAGCTCTGGCCAGTTTGGCTCAGCGGTTGGAGCTTTGGCCCGCGGACCAGTGAGTCTTGGGTTCAATTCCGGTCAAGTGCACGTACCTTGGTTACAGTTTGTTCCCGGCTTGGGTTGAGGTCTTGCGGGAGGCTGCCAGTCGATGTGTATCTTTCACATTGATGTTTCTCTCTTCCTCTCTTCCTCCCTCCTTCCTACTGTATCTGAAAATAAGTGGAAAAATATCCTCGGGCGAGGATTTTTTAAAAAAGATCTTGTCAAAGACTAACCTGGAAGTTGTTCAGGCATGACTAGTCTGAGATGGGCTATTTGTAGGTGTTCACCTACTGGCAAATTTTGTTAAGTTGTGTCTGTATCTTCCTTGACATTGCATTGCATGCATATCTACTTCCCCTACACTTGTACTTTCCAAGGTCCAAACAGTAAGGGAGAGCAGACTGGGTGGGGAGGTGCAGCTGGATCTGTTGCCCCCACTCTCGCCAGTACCTTGTAGATCCCATGTGCCCTGCATGGCTTGTGGGATGGTAATTAGTGCTCTGATTTCAGTGTTCTGCATAATCAGCATTTTTGCCTAAAAACTTGTACAGGAGAATCAAAATGTCTAAGCTGCTGGACTATCGATATCAAATTATTCAGTTTTTCTGATACTCTTCCATTTCTATGCTTCAGAAATTAATCTTCAACTAAATAGTTTAAGAATTATAAAAAGAGCCCTGGGTGGGTATCTCAGTTGTGAGAGTATCGTCCCGATATGCCAAAGTTGTAGGTTTGATCCCCGGTCAGGACACATACAAGAAGCAACCAAAGAGTGCATAGATAAGTGTAGCAACAAACGATGTTTCTCTCTCTCTCTCTTTCTCAAATCAATATAAAAGAAAGGATTAGGGAAAAAAAGGTCTATAGTATTAGTTGGGGTTTATATCCTGCCTCTGTCCCTTTCTAGCTGTGGCCTGGAACAAGTACTTAAACTGTGTGCCTCGGTTTCCTCATTTATAAAAACATGGTGATAATAGTATCTACTCCAGGGTAGTTGAGAAGAGGGAGTGAGTTCATGGAGCTGAGAGCAGTGCTTAGCCCATTGTTGGTGCTCAGTTACTGCTACCTAGTGCTGGTATTGTTGGTCTCAGACCTCGTGTTACCTGGCCCAGAATGTTGTGAAGCACACAGATAACCGGTCATATTTCCATTTTTATTAGAATGGCGGTTTGGGCCACATGAACATCACACTGTTGTCAGATTTGACTAAACAGATTTCCCGAGACTACGGCGTGCTGTTAGAAGGTGCTGGTATTGCACTAAGGTAAGATCCTGTTCCTTATGAACTTAAAATTGTTTTTATGTTTAGCATCATCCCACTTCTTAAGGAATTTATAGAGACATTTGTAGAGACCTTGGTAAAGCATTTTGAAAACCAAAAATCCTTGATTTTAGCTTTTAATAAGTGCTGATGAATGCCTCCTTCAAGGGTTGGCAGTCTTTCAGAAACGGCCTGGACGTATTTGCGCCCTGCACCACCCTGTGTCTCTTTCTGAAGAAGGACATCGTGTCTTGATGGTCACACTGCTCCGCTCTTCCTGTCTGGGGGCCATTTTCATGGGGGGCACATTCCTGGCATCTTTGGAGAAGGGGGACTAGCAGGGTAGGGGTCAGCATCCTGGAACAGGTAAGATTTCATAAAGCCCTGGAATCGAAAATAGAGTATTTTTGTGTGTATATTTTTGTTTTTAGCTCCAGCTCCTAAATAACTGTATGACTTTGGGCAAGTTATTTAACCTTTTTGAGTCCCAGTTTTTTTATAACTAAAATGACAGTGTACCTCCCAGGTTAGTTGTGAAGACTAAGAAAGGGGAGGCAGCTCACATTTTTAGCATAGGTCCTCGTAGATGTTATGACTGGTCTCAGAATGTCATTTCTCTCCTCTTTCATTCTGTGGTTAGACCTTTATTTCTTTGAGTATTTAAGCTTTCTTTCTGTCCATAATAGTCCCGCATTCAAACACAACCTTTCTGGGAGGGATGAGAACTTACCTTAGAATTGACATCTTTTTTTTTTTTAATATGTTTCTATTGATTTTTCTAGAGAGTGAGGAAGGGAGAGAGAGATAGAAACATTGATGAGAGAGAGAAACGTCAACCAGCTGCCTCCTGCACAACCCCACCAGGGATGAAGCCTACAACTCTGGCATTTGCCCTGACTGGGAATTGAACTGGGACCTCTCAGTTCATGGGACGATGCTCAGTCCACTGAGCCACATTGGCTGGGCAAAACTGGCATCTTTCATGGCTGCTTAGTGAAGGAGGGGTTGGGTAGAAATTGACCTCCAGGAAGGAAGTGAGGACCCCACTTCGATGAGGCTCATAGTTTTGCTGGGGGCCAGCTTGAACCCACTCACCCGCCCTGTCTGGTAGCTGACCTCTGGCCTGCTTTCTCCTTGTGTTACACCTGGAATTTTAGCTCTGGGAGCCACCTTGGAGCTTGGGCCTTTTTTACTCCAAGGAAATTATTGTCTTCCTTTAGTAAACAAAAGCCTAGCTTTGACAGAGTTGGCAAGGGGAGAAGAAAGAGAATGCTGGCTTTTCCTCCCAGGATCCTTCCCTGTTAGGTCTTGCTAATTTTGCAGTTACCTCCCTACTGATGTCACTGTCAGGATTGACATGGGATAGGAGCCAAGTCTGGCTTGTACGATGGGGCTTTCTTTCTGGAGTCCGTGGGCCCTGCTCCATCTCAGCTCTGTGTCTGCACCTACCCTGTGGACTCCAGGGTGGCTCACCTCTCCAGGAGCATGCAGCAGGAGCTGCTGAGCCTCAGCCTAGACCGCCAAGGGCCAGGCCCAGGGAGGGAGAAGCACCTCTCTACCTTGTGAGTTTTCTCTAACTTAGCTTTCCCACAATGATTGACACTTGGAATGCCACACCCTTTTAAGATAGACTTAAAACCTGTGCCTTAAACATACCTGCATGTGTCATAGTGACACCAACACAAGAGGAGCACAGACCACAGGGCAGGTCATTTCATTACATAGCTGCCAAATGATAAAGAGTGCTGGGCGTGGGTTTGTCCTTTGTTTGTTTTTAAATTTTTATTGAATTTATTGGGTGACATTGGTAAATAAAGTTATATAGGTTTTAAAAGGGGGATAAATGGTGATCAAAAGAGACTTGACTTGGGATGGTGAACACACAATACAATTTACAGATGATGTATTATAGAATTGTACACCTGAAACCTATCTAATTTTGTTAACCAATGTTACATTAATAAATTCAGTAAAGAAAAGACTATTCTAAAAATTTTTAAAAATATTATATAGGTTTCAGGTGCGTTCTTCCTTTAGATTTCTGCTCTGCATAGACTTAATTCTTTCTGCAAAGGTTTTCCTGTGGGATTTCTCCCTCTTTACCCAAGAATTTACTCATTTCGTAAGTATTTACTGAGTATAGATAAAGTACATCTCTGTCCCTTCCCATTTGCTTATGGTTTCTTGCCAAGAGTTGACACAGAAGCCCAAAGAATACTTGCTAAATCACTAATAAGTCTCTGCTCTCTGTAACTTTTAGATAATGTGTAACATTCAGGTCACATTTGTAAATGTGACCATATTGCCTGTTTTCCATGGTGGCCTGGTCCAGTCCTGCCTAACCATGAAAACTTCATTTTTAAGCATATGATAGCCCTTAATAAATGCTTTATTAAGGAGAATTAAAGACAGAATAGGGTAGAAGTTAGATTCTTTCTAGGTCTGGTGCTGTTTAGATACTAATGAGGACAAATTCTGATGCAGAGGTCTCTTCATAATTGACCCCAATGGAGTCATCAAGCATTTGAGTGTCAATGATCTCCCAGTGGGCCGAAGCGTGGAAGAGACCCTCCGCCTGGTGAAGGCATTCCAGTTTGTGGAAGCCCATGGAGAAGTCTGCCCAGCAAACTGGACCCCGGATTCTCCTACAGTAGGTTTCTTTTCCAAAAGCTCTGGGACCCCAACAGAGGATCTCTCAGGTCCTCACTGCCTCAGGGGCTGCTAGCCTGGAATATCCACAACAGGAGCCCACCCTTAGAGCAAGGCTGCAGATGATGTGCGAATGAGTGAAGCTGCTGGGATGTGGGACCAGGGCTTGGGCAGGCTCTTAATGTAACTTTCATCCATGTATTTTAAAGGAAACAGGCCAGCCTTGAAAAAGTTAAAGAACTTTAGGGTAAAAATTGAGAACTTTCAACTTACTTTTGAAACTGCTGTCTTAAAATCAGTTCCCTAATTAAATGTTTGTGTTTTCAGATCAAGCCACATCCTACTGCTTCCAAAGAATACTTTGAGAAGGTAAATCAGTAGATCATCCCATGTGCACCTGTAGCTTCTCAGAAGAACCACAGTTGGAGCTCACTTGTAGCATTTCAAAGATGATTATATATAGTAGGCAAAAAATCAATTATGCTTGCATTCATAAATATTACTCTAAATGTTTTGTTTTTGTAACATTGGGCTAAGGCTTTTTAAACATAATTAGTTACTAACATGAGTTCTTTATTGGTAACTTCTTGATGACTAGTTTATGGACTGCCTAGTTCACCTGTGTCTTTGATCATGTCTTCAATGGGAAACACTCTTCTTAGCCTTACCTGAACCTGTGTGTACATCAGTGTCGTACAAGTAGCAAAAGCCTCTGATCAAGGATCCTGAAATGTTCATGAATTTCTTTGTATTAATCTGATTTTTCTTTAGTTTTACATTTTTAGCATCAGCATTCTAACTCTAGGAGTAGAGATATATTTGAAACAATGTGAATCATGTTTTTTAAAAGAACACAGTGGCAAAGTGACTTAACTGATCATGCATGTTCCTCATCCCTGAGATTTGTAGTTTCTGTAGTTATTTTACTTATTTTATTTGTTAGCTGACTTAGTGTCAGCATACATTTAGCATACATTTCTAAATATTGATTAAAGGTAATTATAGAGGATATTTATTGAATCCAGGGATTGCATTTTGACATCATTGTAATTATATTTTCTGAAATGCTCAATGTAAAGTATATAATTAAAAAAATAAACATATTTTAAAATATTTGCATTTTTAATACCAATTAATTGTTGGCTCAGCTTATGTTGTGGGGCTCCCGTTCTCCTTCTAACTATATCAACAAACATTATTGAATGTTTAACTCAGGGCCCAAAAAGATAGTTGGCTGCACACCCAAGGGACTCAGTTTAGAGGGCAAGAGAGAAGGGAACGCATTTACTCATTATTTCAGTGAACCCGTGAGTGCCTTCCATGTACCAGGTGCTGTTTTGGAGGCACAAGAGTAAACCAAAAAAGACAAACCTATTCCTTCATGCATTTTATTCTGGAGGGGGAAACACAAAAACAATAAAAATACAGACTGTTTGGAAGGAAAGTAAAGTGGAGCAAGGAGCTGGAGCAGAGAATCACAGGTGTTCTGGATAGGGTTGTCGGGGAGAAACAGTCTCTCCGGGTCTGTTTTCTCATCTGTAAAAAGAGCAATAATTGTACCTATCCTAGGGTTTTGATGAGGATCCAATGAAATAAGGTATAAAGTGAGGGAGTTAGGGGGACAATAAAGTTCTAGGCAGAGGCCCTGAGGTAAGAGCGTTTTTGTGGAGATGAAGACTTGAAGAATGGTAATGAGACCAGAGTGCCTTAGGGGCACACTAAAGACTGGGTTCTATACTATCAGGAAGGTTTTGAGAAGAGTTACATCAGCTTGTTCTGAGTTACATCAGCTTGTTCTTAACTACTTTGTTAAGACTAAATCAGAAGGGTCCAAAGAGGGGAGCAGAGAGGTCAGATGGGCTGGATTGGTGAAATTTGAGGGTAGAACCAACAGGATAACAGGTGTGTTAAATACTGTGGTACAGTAAATGTATTTCCGGGACATAAGGGGAACACTAAGGTGAGGAGGGGCACTTTACCCAGCTATAGGCATCAGGAAAGGCTTCCTGGAAGAGGAGATGAACTTTTGAAGGTTACTGAAACCAGCCAGGTCAGCTGAGCAAAATGAGCTGTAAAGTCACATGGGCGGAAGAAAGCCATGATCTGGTTACATGGTCCTGGAGGGGAAGGCAACAGAGGAAATAGGCTGGCTGGGTGTTAATGGCCCAAACTGAGCACTTCAATGGACCTACCTGCACTGTTTTAAAGCTTTTACATCTTTTCTGTTACTGATCCTCAACCAAACCCTGAGGATAATAGGTACAATTATTGCCCTTGTTTTACAGTTGAGTAAATAGGCTGGGAGAGACTGACTTGACTAAGGTCACACAACTAAGTAACGGGTGGTGCTAGATCCCCAGCCCAGGACTCCTGAGAATCCCCTGAACACCCTCAACATCTCCACTGTTTTCCAGCAACACACACAACCCCTACCCATCCCAAAGAGGGTGTGGGGGCGGGGTGCCACAGGAAGAAGGAAGGTGCATTTTTTTCTCTACCAGTTGCCCCTAGTTGATCTGGTTTTGCCCCAGAGCTGGAGAAAAAACTTGCACTGTGCCCAGGGCCAGCTTCATTGCCCCAACTAGGTTCTTCAATGTCCACGTTTCTCAATCTTTTTTATTTTTTTTATCCTCACCCGAGGACACTGTATTTTTTTTATCCTCAACAGAGGACATTTTTGCATTTATCTTCAGATAGAGCAGGAGGGAGAGAGGGGGGAAGAGAGAGAGAGAAGCATTGATGTGAGAGAGACACATCAAGTGGTTGCCACCCACAGGACTCCAACCGGCTGGGGGACAAGCTGCAACTGAGGCACGTGCCCTTAGCAGGAACCGAACCCGGGACTCTCCGGCCCACGGGCGATGCTCTAACCGCTGAGCCAAATAGGGGAGGGCTCAATCTTTTTTAAATGAGCACCACGTTTTTAATTTGACGGCCACCCAAATTATGTAGCCAGTTTTGATTCTCCCCAATATCTGTCCACTGGACTTTAAGGGGCAACAGAAGGGATTTTCTAAGGTAACGTCCAAAAGCTTAGGTGGGTGCTGTGCTATGGGGGTTCTGGTAGGTGACCCCTCCTGCCCTGGAAGTGGCCTGTCTACCCCAAGCGATGGAGCAGGGTGGAGATGACTGTGGGAGAGGGGCTCATAGGAACAGTGGGTGCGTGGGAACTGGGAGGTAGAGATGTGGGGGCCTGGGGGCGCTAGAAGGCGGTGACCCGAGCAGCAGGCCCGGGGAGTTCGCAGATCGTGACCCTGAGCAGTGGGTCGCTGGCGTGCTGCGGCCCAGGGCACCCGGCGCGGGGCCGGGCACGGACACAGGCGGCGCGCGCACGCCCGGGGCGGGGCACGGCACCCGGCCCCTCCTCCCGCCTGCCCGGCGGCCCGGCCCCCCCGCCGTCACGTAGGTCCCGGGAAGACGGCGGGAGCAGGAGGACGCGCAGGGTGGGCACCTCCCGGCGTGCAGCGCGCGGCCGCCCATGGAGCCCAACGTGCACTTCTGGATCACCCAACGCCAAGTACGGCCCGGGGCCCGCGCGGCTGGGGCGGGCGGGCGCGGGGCGCGACGCGTGCAGTTGCCGCGGCCCAGGTGACCTTGGGCAGGCCACGTGGTCGCACCACCCGCCGCGCACCTCACACCCCCTAAGGGGTCTTAGGGGAAACCCTCCGCTGTCGGAAGCCGACGGCCACGTTACTCGTGTCACCTCTGCCCCAGGCCTGGCTACCGAGGGTGGCCACAGAGTCACCCTGCAGATCGCCCGAAATGAGCCCGTCTCCCCTCGCAGGTGTCTGCTCACTGCAGCCTGAGCTGTCGGGTTGCCTGAGGTGGGAGAGGAACAGCTCCTCCCAGGAGCCCCCAGCCTTCAGGGCCGTTGCTGGGGGGCAGGTAACAGGCCCCGCCTCCGGTAGCTAGGGCGGCGCTCTCCAATAGCAATGTGATGGGAGCTGACTCCTATAGATAATTTAGGTTTCTAGTAGCCAGACTACAAAAGGCTTAAAGAAACATCTGAAGTGAATTTTAATAATATATTGTATTTATCCCAGTAGATACAAAATATTAACATTTCAATATGTAATCTATATGAATTTTTTTTTTATCCTTACTCGAGGACATTTTTTTGCATTTATCTTCAGATAGAGCAGGAGGGAGAGAGAAACTTCCATGTGAAAGAGACACATTGAGTGCTGCCACCCACACAACCCCAACCAGGCGCACCTGCCCCTAGTGGGAACTGAACTTGGGTCTTTCTGGTGTGCAGGCCCATGCTCCAACCGCTGAGCCAAACCGGCCAGGGCTATATGAAAATTATTAGTGAGATATTTTACTTTTTTTTTATATATTTTACTTTTTAAAAAAAAATTCTCACTGGAGGATGTGTTTTATTGATTTTTAGAGAGAGAGAGAAACATCAATGTGAGAAAGAAACATCCATCGGTTGCCTTCTGCATTTGCCCCAACTGGGGATGGAACCCACAACCTAGTTATAGGCCCTAACTGGGAATCAAACACACAACCTTTTGGTGTAAAGGACAACGCTCCAACCAACTGAACCACCTGGCCAGGGCTATATCCTTTTTCGGTATTAAGTCTTGGAATTCTGGTGTATATTTTACACACAAAATACATCTTGAAATCAAGGGCTCCATAACCACATGTAGCTAATTGGGCAGCACAATTCTAGGATGTTCTCTTCCAGCACTTACCTAAAGTAGGGCCCAGCCCAGGTTTGTTTTTTTGTTTTTTGTTTCTTTAATTTAAAAAAAAAAAAAAAAACCCACCACCATCTACTTAGTAGCAGCTCGGTATTTTTTTCAGGAGGGGAAGTAGAGAGGGGACAGGGAGCACAAGTTGTACCAGCAGAGTCAGGACTCAGCTGAACCCTTGTGAAGTCTGAGGGCTTTTTGGAGCAAACCATGCTTCCTTTCTCCACATGTCAGCCATTTAATTCCTCAAGAGCAATTTGATATTGGAGTGGTTCAGAGCACAGGCCCTGAATCTTCTCCTGGGATGGGTTCCCTTGAGTACACTAAGCCCTTCTAAACCTCAGTGTTCTCACCTGTGGGATGGGGATTCTAGGAGATGCAGTAGGCAGACAGCCCCATTAGTTTCTCAAAAATAATGTTAACCGTTATTATTACCATATATATTTTTATTATTAATATATTTTTGTTAAAGATGTTGCTCCTTTTCCCCCCCTAGACACCTTCCTCCCGATCCTGCTCCCACTCCCAAGATTGTTGTCTGTGTCTATTGGTTATGCATATATGTATTACCATATATTTTTGTTGTTCTGAGGCTGTTAACTTCTCAGGTGTTTTCCCTCTCTTAAGTCTTTTATTCAGAGATTTCTTCAGTGGACAGAATTATTGGATCCTACAAATTTGGTCATTTCAATTGTAAGTATTTTTCTTGTTTTCAGAGATAATGAATTTCACATTTTATTCTGAAGCGGGAAGACTGTGTGTCCCTTTTGAAAGCAGGTGAAATAACAGAATCCACATATGTTATCATGCTTTTATTCCTTCAAATGAGCTTGTTAGATTGGAAGGGGATACACAAAAGTGGACATCCAATTAACAGATAATACCAAGCCCTGGCCAGGTGCTGGAGGTTCAGAGGGGATCAAACAAACCTTGCTGGGAATGGAGGACAGACTGACAACCTAGTTACAGACTTTGTCCTAGAGATCTAAGGGCAGGTGTCTCAGGAAACTGGGGGAGGGTGTTGAAGGAATGCTGAGAGGGAGGGGGGACAGTAGGAAGAGCCCAGGGGAGGAGAGCAGGTTACCCAGTCACTAGGACTTTTTATGCAGGGGAATGAGGCAGTTCTTTTTTTTTTTTTTCCTTTATTTTAGGAAGAGAGAGATAGAAACATTGATGAGAGAGAGCATCAACTGGCCGCCTCCTGCCTGCCCCCCACTGGATATTTGGCCCACACCCTGGGCATGTGCCCTGACCAGGAATCAAACCAGTGACCTCTTGGTGCCTGGGTCATCGCTCAACCACTGAGCCACACCAATGTGGCCGAGGCAGTTCTTGAAGGACCTTGTGTGTCATTCAGATGAGAGGAGTTTGCACTTAGCCTACAGGGCAGGGCTTGTGTTTCAGAGGGTTTCTTTGGTCACCATGTGGTGAGAAGGCAGAGGGGACCAGACTGTCGGCAAGGCGATCAGTTCATGGGATGGCTCAGCTTCCAGGTGAAAGATGAAGGTTTGAACCAGGTGTGGCTGAGGGATGTAGAGATCCTATCACCAGCAATGGCCCCTTAGGGCCACACCCAAAGGGAAACCCCCAGCCTGTGCTCAGGATGTTCCATTCAGCCTTGTTTATAATAGAGAAAAACAGGAAACAACCTGAATGCTTATTGATAGAGAAATATGTGGTACATTCATACAGTGGAATTTTTTTTTTTATCCTCACCCAAGGACATTTTTGCCTTTATCTTCAGATAGAGTGGGAGGGAGAGAGGGAGGAAGAGAGAAAGAGAAATATCAACGTGAAAGAGACACATCAACTGGTTGCCACCTGCACAACTCCAACTAGGGCCAGGGACGAACTGCAACCCAAGTACGTGCCCTTAGCAGGAACCAAACCCGGGTATCTCTGGTCCGTGGGTCGACTCTCTAACTGCTGAGCCAACCGGCCAGGGCTCATACGGAATTTTGATTAGCTGATAAAAGTGATCTTGTGCCCAGCCAGTGTGGCTCAGTGGATTGAGTGTCGTTGAGGGACTGAGAGGTCCTGGTTCGATTCCCGGTCAGGGCACATGCCCAGGTTGCGGGCCTGATCCCCAGTGGGGGGCGTGCAGGAGTCAGCCAGTTGATGTTTCTCTCTCACATCAGTGTTTCTCTCTCTCTCCCTTCCTCTCTCTCTAAACTATCAATAAAAATAAAAGAAGTGATCTAGTTATCAACATATATTAAGTATAAACATACAATATATGAGGTTAAATGGGAAAACGTGGTATCTGTGGTGTTTACTGGAAAAGCAAGATGCATAAATACAGTATTTATGCAAATTACAACAAAAACCACCAATACTATGTATATGTTTATGGATATATGTATTCATGTGTGTATAAGTATAAAAAAGGAGACCGGAACTCATAACAGTGGTTACTTCTGATAGAATGGGGAGGAAAATGATACTAGGGCGATGGCTCTTTTGGAAAAAAAAAAAAGAGAGAGAAGCCAATATGACTGTTTACAGTTGTCAGTTCTGGGTGAGGGGATTATAAGTATATAATCATCCTTTTTTATTTTCTGTATTTAATTTTTTCCCTCAAATTAAGTAAAAAAAGAGAGGAAATAAGGCTGAACGGATTAGATGTGGGGGCAAGCGAGAGAGAAGGGCCTTCTAGGTCTCTGCCTGGCACACAGGCAGACGGTGGTCTCGTTCACGGAGGAAGCTGCCATCAGGAGACGGGGAATGGCAGCCCCAGTGGGTCAGCTGCTGGCTGGGAGGTCTGAGTCGGAATGACACAGGGAACTATCCTAATGGGAACTCTCTCATCAGGCGGAGAGCCTTGGCTACATGTCGCATTGAAATCAGGTGTGACAAGCATATGATTTTTTAAAAAATAATTTTTTCTTTATTGATTTTTGGAGAGAGAGGAAGGGAGAGAGAGAGAAACATCAATGAGAGAGAACATCTATTGGCCACTTCCTACATGCCCCCCACTGGGGATCGGGCCCTGACTTGGAATTGAACCGGCGACCTCTTGGTGCATGGGTGGATGCTCAACCACTGAACCACACCAGCTGGGCAAGCATGTGATTTTTAAATCTGTGGATACACCTGAGCAATGTTGAGCTCATGGCTTGATTTCTTTATATTTGATTTTAGGAAAAAATAGAGAAATCGAGGCAGTTATTGTTAACAAATGAAGATGGGTCTATTCATGACTTGGAGGACCATCGGGTATGTATCATGTGCTTGGGTATGCCTGGTTCAGGACTGGGTGTGGTGCCTTTAGGTGATTCTTCCCTCAGATGCTCTGAAATCTGGAACTTTGTCATTGAAAGCAGGAATCTGCTTTTTAAAGTCGGGTTAGTTTTTTCATTGTAGTTAGAATTCTTTCTCATAAACCAGATTAGTATTAAGTACCAATAGTAGAAATTAATAATAAGGAGAAAAACCAGGGTTTTTCCTATGCAATGGATATCAGTGGGGATTCTTTATGCCCTGTGGCAAATTCCAGAATTCAGGCAGGCCTCCGAAATCTGAATCTATTTTCTGTTAGAGGCAGTGGTCCGAGGCGGGGTTCCATTCCTGCCCAAGGACTCAAACCCAGTATTTGTTACCTACCTTGCAGTGAATGTGGGGGGCTTTCCAGACCCAACAGACAACAGTCTCGTGAGGCAGCCTATGGAAAGCTCACAGATTTAACTTGTTTTTCTGGGCTCATAGGCTGGTTCTGTTGCAAGGGAGCTGGCTAATGGTGTGCTGTGTCGTCTGCACACAGATGCCGAGGGATGGGTTGAGTGTTGGCTTTGAGTTCTCTCCAAGGTCAGAGGCTTAGGGCTTTTAAATGTTTTGGTTGTTTTCTTTACGTGGATCATCTCTTTGGTTGTTGTTAGCTCATTTGTTCGTTTGATTAGTTTATTTTGATTTGTTCTGTCCACGTAGTATTGCTCTCTGAAAGGTGGAGCAAAGGCAGCATCAGAAATGAGACTGGAGACATGTGTTTGCCGCCAGGCCACCTTTAAAAGCTATTGCTTGTTTTTCCCTATTTAGATTCGAGAAGCTTGGAAGAGAAGTCTCGTAAGTTTCAGCCCCTTCCTAATTTTTAGCTTCCTAACAGAACAAAACCAAACATCAAACTAACATGTGTGCTTACCTTCTTGAAGTCAACAGTGCACCCTGACAACAGCAAACTGATCCCCGTTCCTTTTCGACCTGCAGGTGAGCTGACCCTAATTTTCAGAAGTAGGAAGGTGTGACCTCCAAGAGTTATAAAACTCAGCCTGCCTTATTTTAATTGTTTTTTTCTGGAAGGATTGCTGACAGTGAGTCTGGAAACCACAGCGTAAAAAGAACGCTTGAAGGGTGTGGGGAGAGCAGATTTGGGGCCCAGACCAGTGCCGTGGAAAGATCTGGGCTTCGGGAATGGGGATAGGCCTGGTGCAATAAGCTTCCATACCTTCTCCAGGCCCCACCCTACTGGCACCTCCATGTGTTCACCAACCCGAAAGCTCTCCAGGCCACCTCTGTTAGTCTCTTTGTAATGTGTTTTTATTGATTTTGTTGGAGAGAGAGGAAGGGAGAAAGAGATAGAAACATCTGCCCTGGCCGGTTTGGCTCAGCGGTTAGAGCGTCGGCCTGCGGTCCAGAGAGACCCGGGTTCGGTTCCCGCTAAGGGCACGTACCTCGGTTGCAGTTTGTCCCCTGCCCTGGTTGGTTGTGTGGGTGGCAGCCACTCGATGTGTCCCTTTCATGTCGATGTTTCTCTCTTTCTCTCTCTTTCTCTCTCCCTCCCACTCTACCTGAACAAAAAATGGAAAAAATGTCCTCGGGTGAGGATTAAAAAAAAAAAAAGAGAGAGATAGAAACATCTACCTGAGAGAAACCTCGATCGGCTGCCTCCTACATGCCCCCCACTGGGAATTGAGCCCACAACCTGGGCACGTGCTCTGACTGGGAATCAAACCGAGACCTCTCAGTCCATGGGATGAAGCTCAATCCACTGAGCCACATGGGCTCAGCCTGTTAAATGGAGGCTCTGTTAGTTGTCCTGGCTGGTGGAATCACTGGCCATTGGTGATTAGCTCAACCTCTAGCTCCTCTCTCCTTCCTGGAGAAGGAGGTTAGGGGAGTGGGGCTGAAAGGTCCAACTCTCTCATCACCTGCTTGGTTCTCTGGCAACCAGCCTCCAACCTTAGGCGCCTCCAAAAGTCACCTCATTTACCGTAAGCTCAGGCGTGGTTGCCAGGAGTGTGTTACAAGTAACCAAAGACGTCCTTTCACCTTTATCGCGTTCCTCTCGCTTGGGAAATTCTAAGGACTTTAGGATCTTTGTGCTAGAAACAGGGAAGGAGAGCAAATTCACATGTTGTGTTTTTAAGCAGGGTCCGAGATGTATTACATTCACGTGGCAGGGTGAACACGGTCCTTCAGTGAGAAGGCTAGTGGGTGGGAGCCTCATCAGGTCGGTCTGTACTCTGCTGATTTAAATGTTTGCCATGTGCATATCGTTATTTTTATTAGGAAAGTAAAAAGAATGAGCAAAAAATATCCTTTGATGTCCGTGCCTTCTGGGGGACTGGAAAAGAGGTTTGGGAGGGATGCCCCCTTCTGGCCTCTCTGCAGCCACTGACCGACCCCGTTCTCTTTGCCAGCTCTCCTGCCTTTCACAGCACCCATGGTGAGTAAGCTGCTCCTCGCTGTTGTGTCAGTGGGGGTGCAAGCTGGGGTTAGGAAGACATCCAGCCATCTCCTAGGTTCCGGCTCCCAGCCCCTGGCCCCTGACTGCCTGGCAGATGGTAATGGATCCCCTCCCTCGGACCCTTGTCTGCCTTTCATACATTCCCACCCCACTTACCCAGTCTAGCATCCAGGCCTCTCAAAGGTCCACAGTGTCACAGGGTGACCCTTTCTTTGACTGCCTATTGCGCACAAAGCACTCTGGGTTAAGATGTGCTTCCTGCCACAAGCCCACAGAATGGTCCTTCACCTTCTTTCCCCAGGCCCTTGCCTGGACACAGGCCCTCACCTGGGACCTGGAATTGCCCCCACGGGCCAGCCCACCTTGGCTCTCACAGGGTGATCTCACAAAGTGACAGTTTTTCCACCTCTTTTCCGCCACTTTTTCCACACGTCATCTGTGCCCCCTTGAAGTTCACCTTTCTCAGCGGGCTTCTCAGTTGCCAGTCTCAGAGATGGGGACAACCATGACACCCCAGGTGTCCTCAGTGCCCAGGTGGTGCCCATTCCATATCACTTGTCCACTGACCGGTCGCCCCTACCTCACACCTTCCTCTCCTTGTCCCAGCTCCTGGGAGGCTCAGTTCTGCATCTCCCCTGGGAAGCTCTTTGCTCTTACAAACTCTCAATCCCCCAAAACACTGTAACTCTGCTTTTTTTTTTTTTCTTTAAAGGTATTTTTGTCGCTGGTGTCAGTGAAAAACCTAAAGTCCATGATTTTACCTCAGGTAGCAATTATTTCAATTTTGTGAAAACTGAATTCTGTTCTTGAAACCACAATGTGACCTATTTGCCTCTTTCTGCAGCTGTCTTTCTACACCTACAGCACTGCGTTCAACGTCATCAATGGGAACGCAAGTCAGGCGAGTCTCAGGAGGCCCAGAGGGCTGCGACTTTCATTGTATCTTTCAGAATTATTCTTTGTTTTAATTATCTTTTCTAGGTAAAACTGTGCTATTGGCTAAATGTATACTGTTGTTTTTCCCCAGAATCGTCACCCATATGAGAGTATATTACTTGGAGCAGGAGTTATTGCTTCTACAACCTTTTTTGGAGTAGGTATTTTAAAATTCTGTCAAATCATTTTGTTCCTCAGAATTTCAAAACACAACTTTAGGCCCTGGCTGTTTGGCTCAGGGGTTAGAGCATCGGCCCTGGAACCCAAGGGTCTCAGGTTCAATCCCCAGCACCTGCGGGAGGTAATCAATCGATATGCCTCTTTCACATCAATGTTTTTTCTCTCTCTCTCTCTACCTCCCTCCCTCCTTTCCACTCTATCTAAAAATCAATGGAAAAATGAGCATTAACTGTAACAAAAAGAACTTTATTCTGATTATAAATCTATATTCTATTTTTTTTCCTCATGCTAGGATATTTTTCCATTTATCTTCAAGCAGAGTGGAAAGGAGGGGAAGAGAGAGAGAAAAACATCGATGTGCGAGAGCCACTTCAACTGGCTGCCTCCTGCACAACCCCAACCAGGGCCAGGGACGGACCACAATCAAGATACGTGCCCTTGATCAGAACTGAACCCGCGACTCATTAGTCCGCGGGCCAGTGCTCTAACCACTGAGAAACCCAGCCAGGGCTGTATTCTATTTTTAAATTTTTTTTCTTCATTGATCCTAGAGAGAGAGGAAGGGAGAGGGAGGGACAGAGAGAACGTTGACTGGCTGCCTCCCGCACACCTTCCACCAGGGACCACAACCCGGGCTTGTGCCTCAACCGGGAATCTAACCGGTGACCTCGTAGTGCATGGGTTGATGCTCAACTACCGAGCCACACAGGCCAGGCTATATTCTATTTTAAATAATTCAGGCACATGCCCAGGTTGTGGGCCTGATCCCTGGTGGGAGGCATGCAGGAGGCAGCCAGTCAATGTTCTCTTTCATCAATGATTTTATCTCTCCCTCTCCCTTCCTCTTTCTCTAAAAATCAATAAAGAAAAAAAAATTAAAAAAGAAAAAGGACTTTGAGATGTCATTTTTCCCTGGCCGATTTGGCTCATCAGTTAGAGTGGCAGCCCACGGACCAAAGAGTCACAGGTTGGATTCCAGCCAAGGGCACGTACCTTGGTTGTGGTTCGTCCCGGCCTCAGTTGGGGTCATACGGGAGGCAACAAGTGGATGTGTCTCTCTCACATCGATCTTTCTCTCCCACCCCCCCTTCCACTCTGTCTAGAGGTAAATGGAAAAAATATCCTTGGGTAAGGATTAAAAAACAAATAAATAAATAAATAATTCATAAAGTATGACTAAGACATAAGGAAGAGCCCGGCTCTTGTGGCTCCGTGGTTGAGCGTCGACCCATGCACCAGGAGGTCGCCGGTTTGATTCCCAGTCAGGGCACATGCCCAGGTTGTGAGCCCAATCCCCAGTGGGGGGCGTACAAGAGGCGGCCAGTCGATGTTCTTTCTCATTGATGTTTCTATCTCTCTGTCCTCCCTTCTAAGCCTGGGTTTATACCGAACAGCTCAGTGACTGGACAAATTAATGTTACTTCTTGAAAACTCCACTTATTTCTCTGATGATCAGGAAAACAGCTCAGTGCTGCACGGAGAGCCCTGGCCAGTGTGGCTCAGCTCATTGGGCGTTGTCCAGTGCACCAAAAGATGGATGGTTAATTCCTGGTCAGGGCATATGCCTAGGTTGCAGGCTTGATCCTGGTAGGGGGCACGAAGGCAGCCGATCAATGTTTCGCCTTCACATTGATGTTTCTCTCTCTCCCTCTCCCTTCCTCTCTCTCTAAAAATCAATAATAAATCATAAAATATATCCATATACACAGAGTGCATTGGCTGTGGTCTGACCTGTAATAGGAGCGAGGTTAATGCTAGTTCTCTGCTGTTGAGTATGTTCAGCTGATATTTTGTTCCCATGCAGTAATGATTTTTCTCTCTTATTTTCTAGTTATTCTCTCGTTTAATCCTAATGAAGTATCCACTGAAAAACATTTTGCTAAGAGAAACCTTGCCTGTCATCATTCTCGGTAAGCAGGAGGCATGCAGCCCTTGTGGTCTTTGAGCCTTTCTCCCATCTTCCGGGACACCCAGGTCCTTTGGCCACACTGTGGCTGATGACAGCCCCCATTTGCAGCTGGCAGGTGCCCCCAGGCCCAAATGAAGCCTTTGATTTCAGAGGTGACACTTTCTCTGTAGATACTCCTTTAGTTGTGCAAGGATGAACACAAACCCGGAAACACGAATTATATTTTAAAGACTATCGGCACAAGCCTTCTGCATGTATCATTTCACTTAATCCTGACAATAGTTTATGGGTGGGCAATATTATTCCCATTTGCAGATGAGGAGACTGAGGCAGGGGAGGTCAAGTACCTTTCCTAGGGACGTAAGGAAGGGCAGTGATCTGACTCCAGGGGAGTGGCAGAGATATTAGCCAACTATTTTAGGTTTCCAGCTTGCAAGTTCACTGGTTTACGTTCCAAATTTGGGTTAGGGAATCAGCACTTTGAAGAGTTGGCAGAATATCAGTGGTAAAATTTGGGAAATTGTTGCAGAAACCTGGTCAAACCAGCTTAAGCAAAGAAGGGGTCATATTTCCAGGACCGCGGGTTTCTCCTGGAATCCTGTCGTGGAGCCAGCTGGACTTTCTGGGGTGCTGGAGCCTGATGCTGGGTTGTAGTCAGGATCCAAGGCTGCTGGACCAGCAGCCCTGACCTGCCCCACAGCCCAGGAGAGAGCCTGGTTGGCCCAGCACAAGTCAGGTGACCCTAGGGTGAGGGAAGCACAGCCATAGAGAAAGAGGCTTGACACCAGAAAAGATGTTCTGTCACTGGACTGAAACTCATCCTTCTGTTGTGTTCTCTTCAACCCACAGCCAACATCAGTGCAGTGAATGTTGTCGCATCCCGAAGTTTTGAGCCCATGCGAGGGGTTGAGGTCATGGACAAGCATGGCAATGTCATAGGCTATTCTAGAAGAGCTGGGACAAAGGTAGGAGGACATGATGGCGCTGTAGCTGCTTGCCTTTGGGGCAAGGAATTGAATTTTATATTTGAGAACTGGTAACAAATTCATGTTTTCCTTCAGACTTTCTTATCCTGTCTTCCCTCGTGCTGAGAGAAAGTTTACGTTTTGCACTCTGATGTTTAAAAGATCACGCATTAAACCCAGGCCGGTGTGGCCCAGTGGGTTGAGCATCTTCCCATACACCAAAAGGTCACTGGTTTTGATTCCCGATCAGGGCACATATCCAGGTTGTGGGTTTGATCCCCGGTTGGGGTGTTTGTGGGAGGCAACTAATCAATGTTTCTCTCTCCTCTCCCTTCCTCTCTAAAAACAATAAAAACATTAAAAAAAAAAAAAAAAGATTGTGCTTTAGTAGGTTTTACAGAGAAACAGAACAAATAGGATATCTGTCTATGAAGAGATTTATTTTATTTTTTTTATTGATTTTTAGAGAGAGAAAAACATCGATTTGTTATTCTACTTACTTATGCATTCATTGGTTGTTTCTTGTATGTGCTCTGGCCAGGGATTGAACTTGCAACCTTGGCGTATCGGGACTGCACTCTAACCAGCTGAGCTACCCATCCAGGGCTGGAGAAATTTATTTTAAATAATTGGCTCATGCAGTTTGTACCACTGGGAATGTGTAGGGTAGGCCTGCAGGCTGGAAACTCAGAAGCTGCTGCTACAGTCTTGAAGCAGAATCTCTTTGGGAAGCCTCAGATTTTGCTCTTAAATTCTTCAGCTGATTGGGTGAGGTCCAAACACACCATAGGGGGTGAGCTCCTTTACTTAAAGTCAACTTAAAGATCTTAATCACATCTACAAAACACCTCCACAGCAACACCTCAAATCCTGTTTCATTAAAGGCTTGGGAACTATGGCCTAGCCAACTTGACCCATAAGAATGACCGTTACACATGGGCGTCTGCCAAATGCTAGGCTTTTCTGAGTGGGACATCTTGTTCTTCAAGCTCAGTATCCACCCTCCCAGCCTGTTCTGTACTCGTGGAAGTCAGTGGACACCCTCTCTGCATTTAAGAGAACCTCTCTCTCCATCTCACAGCAGATGTTCTTCATATGTAGGGCCCAATTTTTCATTCAAGGGTGGCCTAAGAAAATCCAATGCTCTGACCCAAAACTCTTCTAAAAGGCCTCAATTTTTATGTATTTTATTTTTTAGAGAGGGGGGGAAGGGAGAGGAGAGAGATAGAAACATCAATGTGAGAGAGAAACATCAATCGGCTGCCTCCTGCACGCCCCCTACTGGGGATTGAGCCGAAACCTAGGCATGTGCCCTGACTTGGAATCAAACCTGGACCTCTCAGTCCATAAGACAATGCTCAATCCACTGAGCCACATTGGCCGGGCTTTATTTTCATTTTAATCTCCAAGGATATGTTTTTATCGATTTTAGAGAGGAAGGGGGAGAGAGGGAGGGAGAGAGAGAAAAAGAAACATCAATCAGCCACTTTCCCGTATGTGCCCCGACCAAGGTTCAAACCTGTAACCTAGGTAGGTACCCTGACTGGGATTCGAACCTGTTCCCTTTTGGTGTGTGGGACAACACTCCTATCAACTGACGCTCCACCCAGCCAGGGCAAAAAGGCCTCAGTTTTTAATTATTTTTATTATTAAATAGTTTATCCTTTTGCTCAATTCAACACAGTGACTGTTGAATGCATTCAACTTTAAGAACTTGCAATAGCCTATGGTAATTTTATTCTGGGTATGGATAAAAAACATTTTTTTTTAACTTATTTTTTTTCTTTATTGATTTTAGATGGAGGAAGGGAGAGGGAGAGAGAGATAGAAACATCGATGAGAGAGAACATCGATTGGCCGCCTCCTGCATGCCCCCTACTGGGGATTTGGCCCACAACCTGGGCGTGTTCCCTGACTTGGAATCAAACTGGCAACCTCTTGGTGCAGGGGTCGACGCTCAATCCCTGAGCCACACCAGCCGGGCTAGCTTTTTTAAAAAATATTTTTTTAACAAATGAGATCTTTTGGGGATTTCTGTCAAGTGACTTTAGCTGAAGAGTTGTAACGTGGGGCAGTTGTTTGCAAATGGCAAGAAGAGCAGCATGAAACGGCCCCTGATACGAAGCGAGAGAATGGCCAGCTGGACAGCCTTCTGCCCAGCGTGTCGGTGGAAGAGGAGCTCAGGAAAAGTCTGCTCAACCTGGCCAGTGGGGCTCAGTGGTTGAGCATTGACCCAGACACCAAGAGGTCACCGGTTCAATTCCTGGTCAGGGCACATGCCCAGGTTGTGGGCCAAATCCCCAGTGAGGGGCATGCAGGAGGCGGCCAGTCGATGTTCTTGCTTATCAGTGTTTCTATCTTTCTCTCTCTCCCTTCCTCTCTCTCTCAATAAAGAAAAAAGGAATTTTTTAAAAAGAGTGCTCATTCAGTTGGGAAATGCATCATTATTCAGCTCATGAAATGTGTTACTCTGAATCCTAGCAATGATTCACGAAGCTGAATTATGAACCATCAGATATGTCTCAAAATAATGGCATGTTTCTGAATGAATCACAGCAGAGATGTGATAATTGCCAGTATCAAAGAGGAATGTTGCTTCTAGAAATCAAATACCTCGTTTTTAAAATGAAGGTTCTGTGCCTAGGAAACCACCCTAAAGAGACTTTTTTTTTAAATCCTACCCGAGAATATTTTTTCCACTGATTTTCAGAAAGTATGGAAGGGAGAGAGAGATTGAGAAACATCAGTGCAAGAGAGACACATCAATTGGTTGCCTCCTGCACGCACCCTGACCTGGAAAGGGGATCAAACATGCAACCCAGGTATGTGCCCTTGACCGATAATCAAACCTGGAACCCTTTGGTCCACAGGCCGATGTTCTAACCACTGAGCCACTTCGGACAGGGTCTAAAGAGCCATTTTGAACAGCTTTATTGAGGTGTAATTTACATACTTTAAGATTCATTGTAAGAGTGTATCATTTGATGAATTTTAGCAAATTTAAGCAGTTATGCAGCCATCACCATAGTCCGATTTTATTTATTTATTTATTTTTATCCTCACCTGAGGACATTTTTTGATATTTTGTTCAGATAGAGTAGGAGAGAATGGGACAGAGAGAGAGAGAAACATCGGTGTGAAAGGGACACATCGAGTGGCTGCCACCACACTACCCAACCAGGACAGGGGACAAATCGCAACCGAGGTACGTGCCCTTAGCGGGAACCGAACCCGGGTCTCTCCAGACCGCAGGCCGATGCTCTAACCGCTGAGCCAAACCGGCCAGGGCAAGAGCAAATGTTTAATCCACAAGTTGTTCCTCAGCACCTCCTGCCTGCCGGGCACCATGCTAGGCTCTGGGCACCAAACCCTCACCAGTCTGAATCCCTTCTCTCCAGGAGCCAGGAGCGCTTGGCCTCCCAGCGGGGAGGCAGCCTCAGGCCCTGCTAGCTCTCTAGGTATCTAGTCCATCTTGCTGGGAGGAACTAATTTTTTGCATGAATGCCAACTTAAGGTAAAACAAAGGTTTGATGGTCTGCTTTTTTTAAAAAGTTTATCTTTTTCTTAAGAATTAAGTGTCTGCAACTGTGCGTAAGCATAAGCATTCTTTTATCATGTTCCTGTCACCAAAAGGTTTATTTTCTTTGGCTAAAATTTCAGAAACTGCGTAACCAGCAATATCTGATTGTAATAGGGCACCTTTGATCAGATTTCAGGAGCCTAGTCCATGTTGTTTTCCCTTGCCTGGCCTTGTGAGCCACGCAGTTGCAAACAGTAACTGGTGTCCCAGTGCCTCCTAATGACGACTGTCTTGTTTGGGGTGTCTTCCCCTTGCATAGGTGACACATGGAGACAGGCAGCCTCGCCCCACTGATGGTGAAACACACCATGCTCATAGCCACTTGTCTCTTCCTGAAGTGGAGCAATTTGATTTTATTTAATGTTCCTGAACGTTTAAGAACCAGCCCCTTGGTTCTCTCTGTCATCGTGGGGGAAGGGCATTCCCTGCAGAGGGATCGGATGAGCCAAGCATTCGGGTAATAAGCAGAGAGCAGGTGCGGGTAAGGGAGAGGAGCCCGGAGGCAGGCTGCAGCCACGTCCTGGAAGTGGGAGGAAGGGAGATGGGGGAAGGGAAGGGTATGGGGGCCCATGTGCATATTTATTTTGCACAGAGTAGTGCTGTGTGTGGAGTTGTGTTCTGTGTGTGGAGTTACTTGGGGGTTGGGTTCTGAAGTTAATATAGTTATCTATAGTCATAGTTTCCATTGAAAGTCTTTTACATTGTCCTTGAATGCGCATGGTTTTGTGTATATAACCCATACAGTAAATTATATACTTAAATGTTCAGTGCATAGAGCAATGTACATAATAGAAAAGATGACAGAATGTTATAAACTCTATATACATGTTTGTGCAAAATAAGGTTTTATAGCACACTTTTAATTACACGAGCAGCAGACTGGTGCACGCGGGTGGACTTGTGTGTGTTCTGTGTGGGTGTGATCCCCTGCTGGTGTACTGTGAACTAGGCTTTTGGAGCACTCCTACACCGGCAGGGGTGGGAATCACTGGGGCGCTGTCCAGAATAGGGGGGCCATGGCAGAGTCCTGGATTGAAAGGAAAACATGGATTGGTCCTCAGTGGCCAAACCAGCATTTCTACCAAGGGGATTCCCATTTGGTTCTAAGCGAGGATTTGTCTATAAGCTGCCTTTGCTTATAGTTAGTATTTTATTTGGCATGGTCAGCGGACTGTGGAGTTGGGGTGGGAGGTAAGTCCTGCCTTCAGTTACTCCTGGCTCCCACCCCAGCCGTCCTACCTGCAGGTGCACGTCGGGCGCCGCCTCCACCTCTCTCCATGGGCATTGTTTTTTAAGTGAGAAAGGAGAGTTGCTGTTTGCTAGTCTCTGTCCTGAATTCCAGGATCCCTGGAAATCATGTCACTCCATGTCCTCAACTGGTTTCTTTCGCTTTCCACTAGGCCGTTAAAGAGACAGCAACATCCAGAGTCGTGCTGTTTGGGACCTCAGCTTTGATTCCTGAAGTCTTCTCACACTTTTTTAAAAAGTAAGATGCATGCTCATCTCTCCAGGGAGGAGTGAATATTTTGACAGTTAGAATCCTTATAAAACTTGTCAAATCTGAACCTGGTGGGAAGGATGGGAAGAGCTCGCTTCCGTGGTCTTCCTCCTAAGCACTGTTTGTCATAGTTAAGACTGGAGGGTTGATTTGGAATCCGGATGTGCACTTGCCAGCAACCTGCGTCGGCCAGGCCCCCAGTTAGCTCTGTGTTCTTGGCCACGACCCGGCACCTGCTGAGGCGTTTCCTCACTTCCAGACGATGGGTTCGGATGATCTGCACATTTTCCCAGCTCTGACCGCCTCCCCCTTCATTCCAGATGTGTATTAAACGAGCTTAAATGGCCCCAGATGTAGTAGACTGTCATCCCATTTGAGAAGCAAGAAATGGCCTGTTGGGAGGGGGGCCTGGCGATCAGCTGGTCTGAGAAGCCCAGCTTGCAGTCGCTCAGGCCAGATACTGGGTACGGGCAGGGAGTGGAGCCTGCGGCGGCTGAACAGAAGTTCCAGAGTGGAGACAGCCCTCTCCTCTCCTGCCACACGTTGGCTTCTCGTGTTGATGAGGGATGTAATTGCCCACACCTCCTAGCTGTATCCTCACAGTGTCCTGATGAGAGATAAAAATACAGCAAACCCCAGCGTGGCAGGGAATGTCTTCCGCTCAGTTCACAAACTCCCCGGGAAGGATTCTATTGGCTCACGTGGGGTCAATTGCCGCCTGTTGCCGAACCAGTCCACTCTGTCCGGCATGGTGAGCTAGGAAGACCCTGCTAGTACCGTGTAAGGAATGTTTTGTCAGGAAGTAGCAGCATCCGGACAGTGTGAACTGTTACTCCCACGATAGTCAGCTGGATGGATATGGAGACTTATGCTCGGTCAGGATCTCCCTGGACTGCTCTGGCCGGTCCCAGAGCTGGGCTCCTGGGAAAGCTGGGACGGGGTCGGTCCCTGGATGCCTGTGTTACAGCACTGGCTGCCTTGTGGGGAGAGATGGTCCTCGTTTACCAGTGGGCCTTGGGGTGCCCAGGACCACATGTCATCCCACAACCATGATAACATCCAAGCTAGAGTGACCTCCATGGCTGACTCAGCCCTTTCATTTTGCATCTGAAGAAACCCCAAGCTCAGAAGGGGAAAGCGACTTGTCTGAAAGCACCAGTCTGTCTGTAGCAGAGCCCCAGTGGGACCCCAGGACCCCAGCTCTAAGTTCCAGGCTGGGGTTCTTTGCGTCTTCCCACACTGTCTCTCACACTCTCAAAGGTCACAGTCAGAATGTCACATCCGTGTCAGCATAGCCCCAGGTGAGCGCATGGGCTCTAGGATCTGTTTCACTTTTGAGCTGTGGGATTTTGTTTGGACGAGTGACTTAACTGGACAGTGGCTACATTCTCTTGTTTATGTGAAGATGACAACACAAACCTCATAGGGTGTGGAGTGATCAAAGGAGTCCATGCACATGACGTACTTAATCCCTGGCCTGACACTAGTGAGCAAGACAGTCGGCCACCCGTAGAGCAGAGGGCCGGCCTCTAATCTAAAGAACAGCCCTGTGACCTTGTCTCTTACAGGACCAAGTTTTTCATGCGATACCCACAGTCCTTGTGGACCTTAAAGCTGTCTTGTACTTTCTTGGCAATGGGACTGATGGCACCAGTGTCTTTTAGTATGTTCCCGCAAATTGAACGGGTAAGTGCCCCCCTTGGACTGCCTCTCAAACAAATAACTCTGTCTTCCCCTCATTAGAAGAGTAAAGTAAATTACTCTCCTTCTAGAAAAGTTAATAAAAGTATAAAAGAAAATAGCATTATTTACACATAAACTCACCCTTCAGATCCCTTGTGCAGTTTTAGAGTCTATTTTTCTTAAACGTATATCAGAAGCATTTTTGTGGGATGATTAAAAAAAATCATGGAGCTATTTTTTAAAAGTTCCCATGGAACTTTCTGCAGTGATACAGATGTCCTGTTTCTGTGGTGTCCGGTATGGTGGCCACTAGCCACGTGTGGCTGTCGGCACTTGAAATATGGCGAGTGTGACTGAGGAGCCGCACTGTAAATTTAATGTGATTTTAACTTGACTACTCACATGCGGCCAGCGGCTACTGGGTTGGACTGCACCGTTCTGCGGACTAGGATATATTACAGCTTAAGAGAGTCAGCCGGCCTGGGCTCAGAGCCCTAGATGCTCCATGACCTTGGTCAGTTTGTTTAACCTTTTTGAGACTCAGTCTCTGTATCTGTTGAAGAGAGATCACTACAATAATGTTTCTGTTGCTGGTACCAGGGTCATTATTGATGCTAGTAGATATTAGCGATTTCTGGCATTTTTGGCTGAACATTTCAAATGCTTGTTTCTGTCACTGAAGTTAAAAATCAGCCCTGGCCGGTTTGGCTCAGCAGTTACAGCATCAGCCCGCAGACTGGAGAGTCCTGGGTTCAGTTCCCACTAAGGGCATGTACCTCGGTTGCAGTTTGTCCCCGGCGGGGTCGTGTGGGTGGCAACCAGTCATTGTGTCTCTCTCACATTGATGTTTCTCTCTCTCTCTTCCTCCCTTTCTCCGTCTCGCTCTATTTGAAGATAAATGCAAAAATGTCCTCTGGTGAGGATAAAAAATAAATAAATAAATAAAAATCAGTCATGTCTTTAAAGCATTTTCAGGGTAGGACAGAAGTAGGTTTACAGTTGTGAGTACACAAAACAGTTAATTATTGTATTATTTATTAATTATTTTATTTCCATATGAACAACTATAAACATACTTTTGCCCCACCCTGTATATTTATGGAATGTTTTTTGTTCAAAACCCAAATTCTCTAAGTTTAGGTTTATAGACTTGTTTATTCCAGCAGCTTTGCCTGTACATAACATAGAAGTTTTTTTTAAATCCTCACCCAAGAATATTTTTTCATTTATCTTCAGATGGAGTTGGGGAGGAGAGAGGGAGGGGGGAAGGAGAGTGAGAGAGAGAGAAACATTGATGTGAGAGAGACAAATCAACAGGTTGCCTCCCAAACAACCCTTACCAAGGCCAGGGACTGAACCGCAACCCAGGTACGTGCCCTTGACCGGAATCAAACCTGAGACTCTTTGGTCCTTGGGCCGATGCTCTAACCACTGAGCAAACCAGCCAGTGCATAACATAGAAGTTTTCAGTTTAAGATAGTTGCTGTACTCACTATGAGGGTGGCAAGGGACTAGAGGTAGAGGAGAGTAGCTTCTCATTAAAATAGAAGAAAAAATTTCATGGCCCCCCTTTAAAAGTTTTTTTTCTTTATTGATTTTAAAGAGAGAGGAAGGGAGAGAGCGATAGAAACATCGATGAGAGAGAACCTTGATCACCACCTCCTGCATATCCCCCACTCGGGATTTGACCCACAACCTGATAGCCCCCCTTTTAGGACACAGTTTGTTACAATAAAATTGCAAGTCCGGCCAGTGTGGCTCATTGGTTGAGCATCAACCCATTCATCAAGAGGTTACCGGTTAGCCCTGGCTGATTTGGCTCAGCAGTTGGAGCATTGGCCTGCAGACCAGTGTCCCGGGTTTGGTTCCTGCTAGGGGCACGTACCAAAAAAAAAAAGAGGTTGCTGGTTTGACTCCCTGTCAGGGTACATGCCCAGGTTGTGGGCCCGATCCCCACTCGGGGGCATGCAGGTGGCGGCCAATCGATGTTCTCTCTCATCGATGTTTCTATCTCTCTCTTCCTTCCTCTCTCTCTAAAATCAATAAAGGGGAAAAAATATTTTTAAAAAAGATTGCAATAGCCCTGACCGGTTTGGCTCAGAAGTTAGAGCCTTTGCCTGAAAACAGAAGGGTTGTAGGTTTGATCCCCTGTCCTGGTTGGAGTCACGTGGGAGGCGGCCAATCAATGTCTCTCTCTCACATTGATGTTTCTCCCCCTCCCTCCCACTCTATCTAAAAATCAATGGAAATATATCCTCAGGTGAGGATTTTTTTTTTTATCCTCACCTGAGGACATTTTTCCATTTTTTGTTCAGATAGAGTGGGAGGAAGAGAGAGAGAGAAACATCGACGTGAAAGGGACACATCGAGTGGCTGCCACCCGCACGACCAACCAGGGCTGGGGACAAACTGCAACCAAGGTACGCACCCTTGGTGGGAACTGAACCCGGGTCTCTCCGGACCACAGGCTGATGCTCTAATCGCTGAGCCAAATCGGCCAGGTCTCAGGTGAGGATTTTTTTAAAAAGATTGCAATCAAAGTGAACCCTTTGCAAATCATTACTTCTTATTGCATTGGTATTCAGAGCACAGAGTGCATGGCTTATCAGCAGGTTACATCATTTACAGAATTTTTAAACCTCATGAGATTGCAGATTAATAGTTAAAACTGAGTGATGAGGACATGAGGGCCCATTATATTCTTTCTGCATTTGCTTGTATTTGAAATCTTCCAGAAGAATGTTTTTAAGATGTTATGTTTTTTTTTGCTCTAAATTAGGCATCACTGAAAAAAAGTTGGACGGTGAAATAAATAATTTCTGGAAATATTATTTTTTAATAAAAAGCTTGGCTTCTAAGGCAAGAAAAGTTCTTCATCTAAGTATTAAGAATTTAACTTTGTTTTTCAGATACAGTGCAGTAAACTTGAACAGGAAATTCAGTCTGCAACAGAAGAAACAGAACTCTTCTATAACAGAGGGGTGTAGGGGTGAGTTTTAGGTGCATCTGTGTGGTTCCTGCTTGAAAACCTCCCTCTTGAGGTTCTAGTTTGGGAACTGTGCCAGAGGTCTCCTGGGAGCCCCGGAGGTGTCTGCTCAGGCGGGAGGGCTCACAGCCACACATGCCAGGACCTTGTCAAGGTCGGCTGTGCCTGGGCCCTTTAAGCCTGGATGGAAGGAGAGTTTCCAGATGTCCTGTCTGACTTGCCCCCACGGGACTGCTGAGGGGATGGGCGATGTAAGATTCAGTTTTCTATTTGTCAGCCTGTGACACTGTGAAATTACTAATAAACTAGTCTAAAGTTGAGTATTTGAAAACATAAAGAAGGGTTAATGAAGCCATTAAATTGATGGCTCATCTCTGGGTAAACACGAACCTCTGGTGAGCCATTGAAGGCCTCCAACCCCCAGAGCAGTCCTGTTTCCCTAGTCAACTGACTCATTTTGGACAACTACTTCGGTCTTTGTTGTCCGCCACCCAGCTCCTTCCTCTTCCTCACTGGCAAGTGACCTGCCTCTCCTGCTTCACTGTCCAAACCGAGGCCCTTGGCCGCCACGGAAGCTCTGGTGCCTAACCTGCAGAACCCCTTCACCCACGCCCAACCTTCCCTCTGTACAAGGCCAGCGGGGCCCTGGGTTCTGGGCTTGTCCCTTGTTTCCTCAGGGCCCCTCCGCCTCCAGCCTCTGTCTGCTTCTTCCCAGTGATGTTTAAGCTGCTTGAGTGACATGCCTCGTTAAAAAAGCAAAACCCTCTCCCTGGCCAGGTGGCTCAGTTGGTTGGGGCATCATCCCGTACACGAAAAGGTTGTGGGTTGGATTCCCGGTTAGGACGTGTGTTGGAGGCAGCTGATCAGTTTCTCTCTCACATTGATGTTTCTCTCTCTTCCTTTCTAAAATTAAGACATATCCTTGGGTGAGGATTTTTGAAAAACATGCAAAACCCCCATTTGTAGCCATACCTTTTCAAATATTGTCTGTCCTCAGTTTATACCCCACCTTCAACTGCTGAGACTGCTTCAGCCACGCCCCACCTGAACTGGCTGCTCCTCCCGTCTTGGGGCTTGCCGTCCCCTGGCGACAGGCTCACAGCCAGCTGCCCCCTGCACTTGGCCGTTTGTATGCCCACCTCAGACCTCCCAATGTCAGGGAATGGCACCACCACAGTTGCATCAGATAGGATCACCTGTGTCACCCTGACTCCACCTCCTCCCCACTCCCATTCAATAGACTGAGCCAAGTCATCTCAAGAGCTGGCTTCATGACCGCTGCTACTGCCCAGCTCAGTCCAACAGCATCCCCTGCTGGTAATACGCATCTTATTTCTGCCTGGCTCCCTCCAATCCATGCTCCTGCTGGCTGTTCTAAACCACACCTGCTTAAAAGCCTTCAATAGCTTCTCAGCGCTTCAGGATCAAGTTCAAATTCCTTACCATGCGGGCAAAAGTCTTTGCCTTAACTCATCTCTCGCCGCTCCATCCAGCTCCTCAAAGGGACTGTGTTCTCTCTGCTCTGGGCCTTCACACCTGCTTTCCTCTGGACTAACTCCTGCTTATGCTTCAGGTCTGACTTGGACTTCAGTCACTCCCTCCAGGAAGCCTTCCATGATTCACAGTGCTGAATCAGGTGCCCCTCCTGTTCTCCCATAGCACTTGTGTCTAACACTTGCCACACTACAGCACAGTGACCTGTTTGCAGACTCTGTGCCCCTATAGACTGTCCCTTGAGAGCAGGAACTGTCTTGAGTATCAAGGAAGCCCCAGGTAGGTACCCAAACGTTTGCATCCTGGAGGAATGTTTCCAGCACACCCTGCCCCAAATCATCAAAGAATGTATCTGGCTTTGTTTCCCTTGGACCAGAATGATGGTTATCTCCAAATTTGATAAAAAGGGGTTTCACAACAGCCTAAAAGGACAAAATTAGTAAAATAAATCTACCAAGTGGCTCAGTGTAGCCCCAGGCTTACAGTAAACGAACAAAATGTGCAAAGGCTCCAGGTGAAGGCTTACCCACTAACAGAGGGGAGTGGAAGCCCAAGGGCATCTTTTCCAAGGAGACTCTGGAGTTACAGGCGCTCAGAGCGGGTGATGGAGCACGAGGGCAGGGACCTAAGCGGCTGACCGTGTGGAGGAAAGGAGCCTGGACCCCTCACTTCCATGCAGGTCTTTTACTAATTCCCCAGCACATACGCAGCCGACAAAAAGGTTTGTTTGTTTGGGAGTGGGAAGAATTAGAAAGGGCACACATTTTCATCTACCTAAAACTTTGTTGAGTATCAAAATATTTCCAGTTTATTTCTGCATCATACATTTGTCATTTTAAGAAATTTGATCACAAGCTAATACAGCAATACAAAAATGAGAGAAAAAAATGTTAGTATTCATTTTCATAAAGTGCAGATTTAGTTTTAAATTGTTTGCCTTAGTAAACAAAATCTCATTTCAGTTCCACCCTTACCCAAGGAGGAAGAGAAAGGGCTATTTTAAATTTGTTACTTAACAAATATCTAACCAAGAATAAATGAAAGATCCAACAAAGACAAGATTTTTTTCACAAATTTTTTTCTGGGTGAGATTTCTAAGGACAACAGTACTGAGTGTAAAATAACCTTTCAGAGTCAATACGAATACATATAATGAAACAAGTACATAACTTAGACCTCCATGTTGTTTTGCAGCTTTTAGGTTTCCAATTATGAGAAAGTACACAACTGACCAGGAACAGTTACTTTCGTATGTGGCTGAGTTACTTCGTACTGGAGTTCTTTGAAGACATTCTCTGGTTTTGGCCCTTGCAAGCAGTTAATTCTCACACTCCCTTAACCAACAATGTCAAGTTGCTAATTCAGTTATACAGACATTTATAGTCAAAATTGCTGCTTGTTTGACTCTGCCATGTAAGGACTGGCATCTTTTTCAAAATAATATTGCTAGCAGTAAGGTTAATTGAAGAGCACTGATGGCTTAAGTCTGCCAAATGCTTACCTCTGAGACAGTATAAATATGGATTAATAAAGTTGTCTACTCAAGTATAAAATCTATGCAAAACCCTCATAAGATAGGCAAAATGTTCAAAGGCCAAGAAAAAAATTTTTTTCTTCTACAAGAAAGTGCAATTGCAGGGTCTTTTGAATGCTCTTCTAGACAGTTCTGCAGAAAACTTAGTTTGGCTCAGAAAGTAGAGTTCCTCATGAGGAATTAAAATTCTTCCTAGAAGAATACAAAGCAAAATTTCAGGCAGCTTTCTGAAAATAAACCATTAGTTTGTGGCTACACAATGAGACAAGCTGGAACTTATAATAACAAAGGCTTTCGGATCTGCTGTGATTTACATGAGAACTTAGAGCTTTTTTCTTAGTCCAGGACTTCAGGCCGTTTTATAACTTATTTGTGGTAGTTAGAGCACTTGTCCAGCATTGATAGTAGGCATGAAACTAATCAGGTAAGAGAAAATCAGAAGTGTTTTTATATGTGTTTCAGTGCTTTTCAGGTCAAATCTCAATACTTTCAAATAAATCATTAAAATATAACATTTTCTTTGTTATTTTCAGTATTTTACATAGTTAATGGATAATCATGGACAGAGAGCTGTGTATCAGTCCTCAGCGATAGCACTCTAATACGCGGTCAGATTGTCAGCATCTGCTCGGCTGCTGCTAGATGGTACAGAAAGTTTTCTGTTGCTGGTGGAAATCGTCTTTGCCTTAGTGCCTCAAAATTGAGAACAAGCTTTTCTCCATCACCCGAAACTTCTGAAAATGGTGCCAAGTTGGTGAAGATTTCTTTTGTTTTGAGGGAAATATCCTTTAATAAAAACAAGAAAACATGCAATATGTTAGCAATGAAATATTTAAGTAGTTGTTGTATTTTAATAGAAATCTTCCTGCTATTTTAAAAAGTTTATCAGACTAACTTTATAAATTAGAAAAAATGAAATAAACTTAAATAACAGAAAAATCAATATCATGAATAATTTATTTCTTTTTGCCATTTTTAAGCATGCAATTCAGTGGCATTAAGAACATTCATGGTGTTGTGTGATTATCACTACTGTCTATTTCCAGACCTTTTTCATCATCCCAAACTGAAATTCTGTTCCCATTTAACACAAACTCCCCATCTCCCCTCCCCCAGCCACTGGTAACCACCATTCTACTTTCTGCCTCTATGATTCTGCTTTCTAGGTACCTCATATAACTGGAATCATACACTATTTATCCTTTTGTCACTGGTTTATTTCACTTAGCATAATGTTTCCAAGGTTAATCCATGTTGTAGTACATGTTAGAACTTCATTCCTTTTTTAAGCTGAATAATATTCCCCTGTATATATATGTGGGGGTGGGGGGTTGGGAGATCGATGATTTGTAACCTTGTGATACGCATTTTTGCAACCTGGCCAGCCTAGGATCAAAGTGTATGTGTGGACAGACAGGTCTGACTGATAAGCAGGAAGATCACCTTGCTTGCATTGAATGCTTTTGCATGTGAATAAGGCTTGCAAAACGCCATCTCAAGGAAATAATTGACATAAATCCACTTGTAACCTGGGGGAACCAATTGGCAAATGGGACTGTGTCCAAAGATTTGGAGCATTTGCTCTCTTGCAAAGCTCCTTCTCACTCCAAGTAGTTAATTGCGATGCACCGATCCCAGCAGGCAGAGAGATGGCAAGTGGTGACCCCAATGTGACTCGAGAACTCAATGGCATGATTAGACGTGACCAGCAATGTTAATGGTTAAAGGGAATTAGCGATCTGAATCAAAAGTAAACTACGCTTGAGTTCTCTCCAGTCAGTGAGACCCGGCTTGGGACAGCTGTCCGCGTATCTAGCGTCGTGAAGGGTTTCCAGTAAGGTAGCATGGGGTCAGGATTTCCTAAAGATCAGTGACTTTATGTGTGAATTTTACAACAGCTGCTTGAAAGGGTTAATAATGTTTTAACAAAATTAAGCTCTATTCTGACCAGTTATTCCTGCACGTAAACACCCGAGCAGTTTTCTAAAAAACCTGGGACTGACACCCAGAGGAACCATAAAGATAAGGGGTTAATGGTGGCCTTGGGAAACTTGAAGGGACCATAAAAAAGGAGGAGATTAATGATGGCCCAGACTCTGCTGGAGCAGACTTCTTACCTCTGAGACACCTTGTATCAGCCCTGACACCAATTACACGGTGCCAAAAAATGTGGGTGTTTTTTTTTTTAATGTAGTTTTTTTTAAGTTTCTGTAGTTTTGGGTCTATAAAAACCAGAGAACGAAGAGATTTCGATGCTGGGCTCTTTTTTAAGGAGTCAGCCCGCCTGCACCCAGGTGTATGCAATAAAGCCATTGGCTCTACACTGGCCTGGAGCTGTGGATGTGATCCCCCCCCCAGACCTTTTACTGCTGAAAGCGGCTCAGTGCTCCGGATCTCAGTGCTCCGCACGGAGCAGAAGGCCTTGCAGCTTCTGAGGGACGTACAGGAGTTCTGCCCGTGGTTCCCTATGGAGGGCACATTGGATTCTGACGTGGTTCAAAGTAGGAGAAACTTTTAGGGTGTGCAAAGATTTAGGGTGTAAAATTTCCACCTCGACCCTTCTTTTATGGCGACTGGTATTTACAGCATTGCAGCAGCTGACTCAGGAGATCAGTCCCAGCAGCGCAGCAGCTCCAACCTCCACTTTGGAGGAAACTCCAGAGCAACTGTCGGTCGACAAAGGAGGAAATCCCCCCCCTCCACCTTTTGTGGAGGATTCCTCAGCCTCACCACACCCAGCAATGGAGGGCTGTATTAAGAGGCCAGGAAAGCGGGCAACTTTGGGGATTTCCCAGCTGTAACACGGACAGGTCAATAACCTGTGCACGACTGTTTGCCCTATCAGGTTTTTAAAGAACTCAGGCAAAACATAAAGGAGAATGGTTTGCAAATTTCCTTTACTATAGGAGTGTTGGAGGGAATAGCTGGTACTGTAGTTATCTGATAACTCCCTGGGGTTGGGCAGCGCTAGTAAAAACGGCCCAGTTCGCAGTGTGGAAGTTCAAAAGGAGGGTGGAGACCTCCGAGCCTCCCAGGAAGTGCCGGCCTGGATCTTATCACCGCCAGAGAATTAAAACTAAGGAGCCTGATAATATTTGTTTAGTTCCTACAGGAGTGTATGGCCTCTTGCCAGAGGGGAAAGTAGGTTTAGTGACTGGGTGGTCTAATTTAACAATGAACGGATTACAAGTGATGCCAGGGGTAATTGACTCCGATTTTGAAGGAGAAATTAAAGTAATGCTTAAGGCTGTGGGCTTTCATGTATTAACACCGGGAACACGAATAGCTTAACTCCTTCTGTTACCCTATTGGGATGCTGGAGCCAACTCCACAGTAAGAGGGAATGCAGGGTTTGGGAGCACTAGTCAGTGTGTTTTCGGATTAAAACCAGAAAGCCCTTGCTCTCCACTAATATACAAGGGCAGCTATTTTCAGGATTAGTGGATACAGGGGCAGACACTTCTATTATAGCAATGGCCTAAAGCCTCCCGGTACCCCTACTAGTAACAGGAGTGGGAGGAACTCAAGCTCCTCAACAAAGTGCTCGCTCCCTTTCCTGTACAGGTCCAGATGGACAAAAAGGATGGATTCAACCTTATGTCATGGATTCTCCCCTAAATTTGTAGGGAAGGGCTCTCCTCTCTCAATGGAGAATGGTTATTCAAACCCAGCCTTTTGGCTAGGGGTCACTCACTGGTAAAATTCCCCTCCTTTCATTGGCCTGGAAAACAACAGAGCCAGTATGGGTTAACCAGTGGCCCTTAAAAGGGGGAAAAATTGTTACATGCAAACAGATTAGTGAAAGAGCAATTAGAAGTAGGTCATATAGAACCTTCAGTCCGTCCCTGGAACACTCCCATTTTTGTAATTCCTAAAAAAGGTGGTAAATGGAGATGACTACATGATTTGAGGGCAATCAATGCTATTATAAATCTAACAACCAAAGGTAGAAAAAAGAACACAAAAACTGACAGGGTATGACCCTCAGATTCTACATTTGCCTCTTACTCGGGAACAATTTACCACTTTGATTTCCCAGGCAACAGACTTTCAAATAGCTCTAGCAGATTTCACTGGAGAAATTAATTACTTTCTTCCAGCAAATAAATTCATGCAAAATATTCCTCAGTTAAACCTTAACTTGGTGCAAAAAATCAGTAATGCCCCATTACCTGGGGCCAGAACTGTATTCATTGATGGATCAGGTAAATCTCACAAAGCAAGAGTGGCCTGGAAAGAAAATGAGGAATGGAAAAACAGCAGCAGCCTTGAGCCTGGGTCAAACTCTGTGTGCTGAATTACGGGCTGCAATATCAGCTCTTCAACAATTTACAGAAGAGCCCTTAAATACAGTTAGTGATTCACAGTATGTACTTAAAGTGTTACAAAGACTAGAACAAGCCTTTATTAAGCCTTTAACTGATCGACATCTATTAACCTTATTTTCGTCTCTCCAAGCTTTAATAGACCAACAGAATCATCCTATTTTTATAACCCATATTCGCTCTCATTCCATGCTCCTCGGACCTTTAACACAAGGAAATCAACAGGCAGATGCCATCGTAGCAACAACTCTTGCATTTCAGTGAGCACAGTGCTCATAGGCCTTTTTCACCAGAATGCTTGAGCACTCATGAAACCTTGCATTTGACCCTCTAGCAAGCTCGATATTATTAAGGCTTGCCCAGATTGCCAACTTTCCGGAGGGACTCCAACGTCAGCAGGAGTCAATCCTCAGGGTTTATCCCCAAATGCCTTATGCACCCCCACTGGGGATCAGGCCCACACCCTAGGCATGTGCCCTGACCGGGAATTGAACCGGCAACCTCTTGGTGCATGGGTTGACGCTCAACCACTGAGTCACATGGCCAGACAAGGTGGATATATGGTAATTTTATGGTTAACTTTTTGAGAAACACTGCTATTGTTTCTAGAACAGATCTCTTCTGCCTAGGATAGGAAACCCAGCACCTGCCACATGGGCTTTATTCCTCTTCACCGACTGACATTCCTGTGGAGGGCTGAGCTCGCCTGAAGTCATTCGTATCTTTTTCTTCGTTTGTTGACATCATTAACACATTCAAATATTTCTGTACCCCTTCAACATGCCGGGCACATTCATCATACATTATACTGAGTCATCTTGTATCACTTTTAGTCCATGAAAAACACTGTAATTCAGAATTCAAATTTACATATTTCACCAACATTGTAAAGAGTCAGTGTTTTTACTATAATGTAGATGGAGGGATGGATGGGGAACAATGATCCACATGGTAAGAAAGGAGAGTCTCAATGTTCAGGTCCTCAGGACAAGACCCACCCACTCATCCTGGCCACAGTTGGACAGGCCACCGCAGTGAACAGAAAGAACAGTGCTGCCGGTGATTCCCTGTCAAACTGGGCCCAGTCACCCTTCAGCACCCTCTTGCTCACATGTCACTTTCTCAGCTGTCTGATCCCTTGTCTAATATTTTCTGCCTCAACCCCTTGTTTCTGTCATAGCATTCATGTATCTGGCTCACCATGATTTTGTCACACATTATTTTCTATTCACCTACTCCACTAAAATACAGGCCACAGGGGCAGGGACTTGGCTCACCACTGTAACCACACTGTCCTGTGCAGGCCTGATATATAGTCAGTGCTCAACAAATACTGATTAAGTAAACAAAGGGATTAATGAAGAGCTAGATGTAACCAGATGAGTAGGACCTTCACATTACAGGTGTCCCCCAGATAGCACAGGTGTAGACAGGGGTAGACAATCCTTTTAGGCCCCTGTCCCCCAGTGTATGAGACGGGTCTAGACGAGGCAGGGCCTAGGAGAGGCGAAGCAGGAAGTGTATCCCTGCAGGAGAGGAGCATGTTGCTAGAAACAGATATAAGGCAAACTGGCAGCAGAGAGAAGGCGGAGGCTGGGCAAGCTGTAGTACAGAGGAAGGGCTTCATCACCTCCCGGAGGAGCGTAAATGAACCCACTTGACCCTGGCCGAGTAGCTCAGTTGGTTAGAGAGTCATCTTGATATGCTAAGGTTGTAGGTTTGATTCCCTGGTCAGGGAACATACAAGCATCAACCAATGAATGCACAACAAATCGATCCTATCCTCTTCTTTTCCCTCTCTAAAATCAATAAAAATTTAAAAAACAAAGCAAGTAAAAAAACCCACACACATTTGTCATCCCAATCTGACAAGGGGAGAGGAGAGGGTCCACATGGGCACTGTCATCAGCTGACAGGCAGACCAGAGGAGCTGGTCCTGCAGGATGTGACACCAGAGTCTGCTGAGTTTGGCAGAGGTCTGCATTATCAGTGTCCTGGAGATGACACATCAGACCTAGATTAAGAAGTTCTATCTAGCTGCCCAGCCAGTGTGGCTCAGTGGCTGAGCATCAACCCATGTACCAAGAAGTCGCTGGTTTGATTCCCAACCAGGGCACATGCCCAGGTTGTGGGCCTGATCTCCAGTGGGGGGATGCAGGAGGCAGCCAATTGATGTTCTCTCTCATCGATGTTTCTCTCTCTCTCTCCCAAAAAATCAATGAAGAAAAGAAATTTTAAAAAGATACTCTAGCTTCCCATGCTCAGTAGCAACCTCTGCTTAGTTTGTTTCTCCATGAAAATTCTACTAGGAAGAGAGAATGCATATGCCAGTCCAGCACAGCATTCTAGACCACTCAGAAGTTACATTTCTCACCACAAACACCTGGCTTTCAGGCACCAGCCACCCCAAAAGTATCTTGTCCTCAGAGTCTAATAACTGACTGGCCCTGGCAGTCCCCGCAGGTTCATCTACAGACCCTCATAAGCACCTGCCCACTGGCCTCGCCTAGTCTCTTCCCTCTGTCATGTGCACAGCAGGTAAGGAGCAGCTCTGTGCACATGGCCCAGTAACGCTGGTTCAGGACTCTGAGTAAGTTGGCAGGTTAAGAAGTTACCTGTATAACTTGGCCATCAGATTTCTCTGGATCTTCTGCAGACTGAACAATTAGCTGACCAATTTCTTTGTGCAGTTTGCCCATTGTCATGGCCTCTGGTGAGATAAAGAATATGTTGTGTGAATATTTAGAAATTTAAATAATAAAAAATAATCATGCCATTTATCTGCAAACCTGAAAGATCATACAAGGGAATTTTCAAAAAGCAACTGACAACCCCCATTTCCATCTTATTGCTAAACACAAATATAATGACATGCTGAGAGGTAAGGAAGGCATAATCATGATTTACATACTTCATGTCCAAAATAAAAACACCAAACCAAATTTCTCCTTCTACCTGCTAAGGATCTTTATTTTTTTCTAGACTATACCTAATGAAAGCTCTGACTACAAATAAGTTGTGAGTTTAAGCCCAGAGTCTGCCTTTCCTGTCCAGGTCTTTACAGTTAAGAATTCATTTATCTTTCTGGCAGAAATACTGTGAAAGAAGCACTTCCTGTCAGTTCTGCGGAAGCCACCGGACATTTAGTGTGGACAGGCCCTTAGAAACCAGCAAAGGAGCCTGGCCGGTGTGGCTCAGTAGTTGAGCGTCGACCCATGCACCAAGGGGTCGCCAGTTCAATTCCCGGTCAGGGCACATGCCCAGGTTGTGGGCCCGATCCCCAGTGGGGGGCATGCAGGAGGCGGCCAATTGATGTTCTCTCTCATTGATGTTTCTATCTCTCTCTCCCTCTCCCTTCCTCTCTCTCTCTAAAAATTAATAAAGAAAAAAAAAAACAGCAAAGGAGACCACCTCAGCTGCATTGATTATATACACTGCTACTTTCTGCAGCAAGAAGGTTAAGAGAAATTTCTGTTTGTCATTCCAAGGGGCAAATGCGAATGGTGCTGACTGGGATGAGCCCACTGTACAGACTCAACACAATATGGCAGCGAGGAGATGGCCACTGATTCAGCAATTTAAGTGGCCCAGCCACAGTGAGTTTTCTATCACTTCTGCTTTACAAAAGGCAGTATTCTCCTAAGATGACTTTGTATTTTAAAATTTTCACCATGAACATGCATCATGTTTGTAATTTTAAAACAAATAAAAGTTGTTTTGGTTCTATTAATTTAGAGTTACTAGATAAAATCTCGCCTAATGAGAATCTATCTAACAAAGGTCCCCTCATTAACCAGCATTCAGCTGTTCCCACTTTCAGGAGAAAGATAGATAAATGACAGTAGAAAAGCCTTTCCCGGGAATTCCCATCTATAACGACTACCTCAGAAGTACCCTGGACACACACATAGTTAACACAATCTTTACTATTTTATATAGCTGTAATTTAGGACAATTTAAAGTCTCCAGAGATGACACTAGAACACCCTTTCCTGATCGTTAGCCCCAGGAATACTTTCATTTCCTTGGGCTTACTGAGATATCTTTCAAAGAGATTTTCCACACAGGAGTCAGTCAACCCTTGTGTAGTGACAAATGTCTACACCTTCTTTAATACTGCTTTCTTCAGGAGGTGGAGTCTAACTCCGCTCCCAGAAGTGGGACTTGCTTGGGACAAACAGAATATGGAGGAAGTGATGTGTATGACTTGTGAGACTAGGTCATAAAGGCACTGTGGTCTCTTTTCTGCCTCTTGGATCACTCACTCTTGGGGAAACCAGCTATTAGGTCATGAAAACGCTCAAGCTGCCCTATGGAGAGGCCCATGTGGCAAGGGTTCCTGCCAACAAGCCATATGAGTTAGCTGGGAAGTGGAGCCTCTAGCCCCAGCTGAGCCTTCAGATAACTGCAGCCCTAGCACTATGTTGATGGAAATCTCATAACAGGTCTTGAGCCAAAACCTCCCAGCTAAGTCAGTCCCGAATTCCTGATCCACCAAAACTGTGAGTTAATAAACGTGTTGTTTTGAGTCACTAAGTTCAGAAGTGATTTGTTATGCAGCAATAGATAACTAACACATCTTATTTACATATTTTTTTATCTTTTTTGTTGAAAGTATCACAGATGTACCCTTTTCCCCCACTGACCCGCTCCTCCCCAGTCCCACTCCCCTCCTGCTTCCCACACTATTGTCTGTGTCTACTGGTTACGCATATTTGCATATAAGTTCTTTGAGCACACTGTGTTCAAACAGAAAGTGGACAAACAGATGAACAGACTATCTTATGAACATATACTGTGTAGCATAAGCATCCAGGATGTATTACTCACATGGCTAGGCCTATAAGAATAAATGCCGTGTTCTAGACACAAAACCCTCCAGCTTCAGCACAGCAGGTGAAGCAGGCCCTCAAATACTGGTTTTAGAGAATCAGTCTAAAAATATACAAGTACTTGGCTTACATCTTGTATCAGCAATGGAAGAGAACAGAATAGAGAACTAACCTTTTGCAAGCGGAGCAATGGTAATCTCACTGTCTGCCAGATTCACAAACACGTCATAGAGGTCTGATCTATTGCTCACCTCTGAGTCTACAAATCCGGCGATGTAACCTGCATTACAGAGATGACCAACGTTATTGAGTACAAAGAAATCATACTGTGAACACATCAAAAGAGAATTGAGTCTACAAGCTCACGAGCTGCTTTTTCCCTCTACTTTACTTATTCAGGGTACATTAGCTGTGCCCTGTGGCATTTATTAAGACTACATTATTGTCAACTGCCTGAAGAAACTCACACAACTCAAAATATTCCAAAGCCAGACTTCAGTGTCAAGGAAGGAGGCTGAAGGAAAGCACTTACTTTTCAATCATTGCTTCTGAGGGCAAAAATGACAGACGAGGCAGAAGGTAGCAAGGATGCTCTTGATCAGTGTTCCTAGGACCTCTAGCTCCTTGTGTCCAAGAAATCATAGCCAAACACCCATCATGAGTCCATATACATATAAAGTTAGTTTAGTAAAACTAAACAGTATGTTGTTTGGAGAGATGTGTTTTGTGTATGTGGCCAGGCCAGAGGAACAGAGTTGAGAAAAAATGATGGAATGAGATGGGAAGGTACACTGGGTGCTTCAAAATATTGACATTATTCTACTTTTTCACCTTTGGCGAGTCTTTTTTATATGTAATAAATATTTCATAATTTAAAAAACCAACAGCAAAAGCACTTAATATCATCCTTTTATGAAATGGTCTTTTAAGACTATAAAAATATAGAGGGCATTTTAACCTTAAATATAAAAAAACTACAACAAAAAACTATGGCACTACAAAGTTAGGATACTGTAGATATAGGTAATACTGTATTATTAAATTATTCCCATAATCTTATTAAAATTTACTATACAAGTATAACATCATTAAAAAACAATTTTATTTTTTTCTCTGAGAAAAAATATGACAAGGCTCAAATTATATTCTAAATCAAATCTGATAAAGAAACTTTTAAGATGAGAACTTGACAAGTTAAAAATAAGTTGTATCTTGGTGATGTCTGCATAACTATGTGAATGTATTTAATGCCACTGAACTACACACTTAAAAATGATGAGCCCTGGCCAGTGTAGCTCAGTGTTGGAGCCTCATCCCAAAAGGCTGTGGGATCAATCCCCAGCCAGGGCACATACCTGGGTTGTAGGATCAATCCCCATTCAGCAGTGTATGGAAGACAGTCAATAGATGTTCTCTCTCACATCAATGTTTCTCTCTCTCTTTTCCCCTTTCCCTCTCTCTGGAATCAAGAAGAATATCCTCAGGTGAGGATTTAAAGAAAGTTAAAAAAAAAAAAAATGATTAAGATGACAAATTTTGTCACATATGTTTTACCCAACTTTTTTCTAAATTATAGGGGAAAAAATTGATTCCATTTACCAAAGAAATAATAACTGATCGGTACTCTCCTTAGAAATGCACACACATACACAAACCAAAAATACCCCAAAAAGACAAAGAACCAAACAGTCTTAGTTAAAGTCAAACCCCTGCCCTGGGGTCCTGGGGTCTACCTGTGCACAGCTGCAGGGCTTCCAGCTCATCGGCCTCCAGGTGCACGTACGAGTGAAGTATGGTCCAATCCTGTCGATGCCACACCAGGGCAGGCAGGGTCCTGGGGAATCAAAGTGAGAAATCAAGTGGCTGCTGGCCTGTACCTGAGAGACTCAGCCTTCCCTCTTCCCTCTCCCTCCAGGCGGAGGAGACTGGCTATCAGAGGCAGCGGGGAGAACCAGCTTTAAATGGGCCAATACCTCCAGGCTTCAAACAAAAGTATGGCAATGTTGTAAACTTTGTTTTTGGTGTCAGATTAGCTACAAAAAAGCCCAAGGGAAAGTTTCAAAAGATTTCCACGGTGGCAAAGAAATGCTTCTAAGGATTTCCTCCAAACACCCTACTCTGCAGACTGCAAGAGAGAGAGTCTGAGGGTACAATCCAAAGAGGGCCCCGTAAGCCAAACATTTTTTGAAGTCTCTCATTTCATACTTAATCCCAGTCAAACTTGCAAACCACTTTGTGCTTGATTTGTACAATATAGGTTTCCTTAAAAGTAAAAAAAGCCCTGGCCAGCTTGGCACAGCGGTTAGAGCGTTGGCTTGCGGTCCGCAGAGACCTGGGTTCGGTTCCCGCTAAGGGCACGTACTTCGGTTGCAGTTTGTCCCCGGCCCTGGTTGGTCGTGTGGGTGGCAGCCACTCGATGTGTCCCTTCACATCGATGTTTCTCTCTCTCTCTCCCTTCCTCTCTCACCCTCCCACTCTATCTGTACAAAAAATGGAAAAATATCCTCAGGTGAGGATTAAAAAAAAAAAAAAAAAAGTAAAAAAAAAACAAAACTTTCAGTAAAACGGCTACTGCAAGAAGATGTGCTGAATTTATCTGTGGTTCTGTGAACCCCCTGGTGCCTTGTTACAGATCTCAGAAGCTGTGGACACCCCAGTTTCAGCAGTATAAATGTAGAAGAAAAAGGTAATGGAGCAGAAAAATACAGAGTTTTGGAGTCAGAGCGAGGAGGGTAAAAATTCTGGCCCTTTTACCTAAGCTCTGAGGCAATCACGATCATAACAACAATTATTTCTAAAGTGAACACTATGGGCAAGGTACCTACTAAGAACTTTACACAAATTACTTTCAGTCCTAAAAATAAGCTTCTGAGGTGGGTATTATCTTCATTTTACAGATAAAGAGACTGCACCTCAGAAACATTAGTATTCTCTATGTGGTCACAGAGCAAATAAATTGCCTTCCCAGGATTTTAACCCAGATCTTTCTGACTACCAAGCCTTTCTTCTTTCCATTATCTGACCAATTTAACCTCTCTGGAGCCTCCATTTTCTCATCAATAATACAGGGTAATAAAACTTGCGAGGTTCTCGCCATGAGTAAATTTAATAATTTGAGGTACCTTATACAATGCCTGCCATACAGTAAGCACAGCATAAATGCCAGTCCTCCCTGATTTTAAATAAGAATCTAAGAACAAGTTAGACTAGGCCAAGAGAAATACTAAGGAAAACTACCACCCAAACCATAAAAATGAGAGAAGAGAAGGCGGTGGAGCAGCCTCCCCAGGAGTAGAGAAGCAGATCTTCGTGAAGACCTTGACTGGCAAGACCATCACCCTTGAGGCTGAACCCAGTGACATCACTGATAATGTCAAAGCTAAAATCCATGACAGGGAAGGCACCCCGAGTGACCAGCAGCATCTGATATTTTCAGGCAAACAGCTGGAGGATGGCCGTGCTGTGACTATAGCATTCAGGAACAGTCACTATAGCATTCAGGAAGAGTCCACCTGCACGTGACACCTCATCTGAGTGGTGCCTCCTTCTGCCAGCTTGCCTAGCAGTACAACTGCGGCAAAATGATCTGCTGCAAGTGCGAGGCCCCCCTGCCCCCCTATGCTGTCAACCCCTGCAAGAACTACAGCCACACCAATAGCCTGTGCCCTGGGAAGAAAGTTAAATAAGACCTCTCCAACACCTCCTCCACCAGGATGGCCTTCTGCCTGAACCCTGTACCCCCTGGGCCTCAATAAAATTTCCTTTTTTTGACTGGAGCAGTGTGTGTGGGGTGGGGGAGCAGTGTGTGTGTGTGTGTGTGTAAAATTGAATAAAAGAAACAACTTGCCTAAACAGAGGTCAGGAAACTATGACCCACAAGTGTCTGCCTGTCTTTACACAAAGTTTTACTGGAACACAGTCATGCTCATTCACTTACACTACGGCTGCTTTATATTACCCATGGCAGTTGAGTGGGTGGGCCAGAGACCAGAGTCCACAAGCCTAAAATATTTTTTCTTACAAAGAAAAGTTTGCAAACTCACTGCTTTAAAATATTCATATTTATAAATTAGAAGAAGAATCTGTCTAAATTCAGTGACCTTAAATTGCTAAATCTAAACTGGACCAAAATGGTTCTTCACTCCCAGCCCAATACATTCTATTTTTACCAAATGTGCAAGAAAACAGAGCATAAAATAACACCAAGTGCCCCAAAATACTGCCAACAAAGTTCACACTTTTTAATGATTAGAGAGGATACCTGGTAAACGCCTGGACAGCTTCTATTTTGGGGTGATAGACGACAATTCTTTTCTTTAGCATCAGTGCTGTGTGTAAGATAACAGTTTCCATTCCAAACTGAGATACAATGTCTTAAGACAAAAGAAATTATATTACTACATTAATTGATAAGAAAAGTTTTCATTAGAAATAACTCTTGTCATATGAATACAAAATTATAAATTTTGGTAAATGCTGTAAGCACAGAAGCATCTTATCTGGAAAATGGCTATATCTATCCATACATCTACTCCATAGGATGGGTGTCGTAGCTGTCTACATCTGCCCCGCAAGGGACTCTATGCTGGATGTATACATAAAGCCAGACTCATAAGAAAGTGGAGGAATGATATAAGGGAACAAGCAACTGTGTCATAAAAACTCCTAAAGTTTTATTTTATTTATTTATTTATTTTTTGGTATGTGCCCCTAGCGGGAACCAAACCCAGGACTCTCTGGTCCACAGGCCGACGCTCCAACCAATGAGCCAAACCAGCCAGGGCAAAACTCCTAAAGTTTTAAAAATGATCACCCGCCCACATCATTAGTGAAGTCCTTTTGAGGTAGCTGGACAATACCTGACACCTCCACAGGGATGCTTAGAAATCATGTAGAACAGTAGGCTCAACGGTGAAGACAGACAGCATTATACTTGAGTTCCCCTCTCCTCTCTTTCTTAAGGACTCCAAAGTCCGTGGCTTAGCCCTGGGCTGTCTCTGCTATTTTTGATTTTCCAGGTAGGAGAAAAAGGTGGGGTGCTGAACTAGAAGCCTGGGTTAGGGGCTTGAGCTCTCCAGATGGAAGAGGTAACTGCTATGATCTGGGCAAGAAAACTATGGAAGTCAGTGGAACCCTGGAGCCCTGAAATGCAGCTTACTGGTAAAAGAACATTTCTATATTAATAATCAGAATCAAGTCTGCTTTCCTATGACAGAATTCTAATCAAATAAGGAAATGGAGAAGTTGAAGTGATCTCTTGGAGAGGAAATAAATATTATGTACAGGATGTATGTGGAAAGATGGAAAAACAGAGTCTACTGAGGCTGTCCTTGGCTTGCAGATTTTGGTGTTGGGATGAAATCATCTGGGATGTTTTGTTTCTCCTTTTTTTTTTACCTTTGATGGAGCCTGCAAGGTATGCCTTTCGGGCATCAAAGTCCTTGGTAAGAAAAGAGCCATTTTCTTCACTCTGGCATATCCCCTTTGTGAGAACTGCAATATAACTTTCCATCATTTTAACTGGGCTCCCATGTTTCAGGTACATTCTGTAAGAAAGGACAAAAAGCAATCGTGCTTTTATTTCGCACGAACCACATGGAGAAACACACCAAGACTAGGCGTGGGTACTTTCTAAAGAATCGAAGCCAACCTGCTTATACACTTCTGAATCTTTTCATGATGTGATAATCCTAAAATTTAACTTGAAAATGTATTTATAAAAAAAGAAACACTTGAGAGACCTTCGACAATTCTTTGAAGTTGGCTCTTTCTTTATATCTGGGAAAGCCTGCTATAGTCTGCTCAGGCAGGAGAACGAACTATGGGCTCTCTGAGGCCCCATTATTCTTAAGAACATTGTATACTTTTCTCTTTTTATGTCTTACATTCACAGCAGGTATCCTTAGTCATAACAACCCTGTTTTATGGCTGGGATTTCATCTGACAAGAAAGATTTATGCATTGTTCACAGAGAAAGCAGTAATTAGTTGTAGAACCTGTATTTGTTATCAGAGTTCCCAGAGACAACTAAATTTAGATCATTAAGACATCAAACTCCTTTAAGCTTCTGCTGATACATGCACACTATATACATTCAAGTTAAAACTTCCAGAAAATGATGACAGGAAGCTGGCTCCATTTATAGCTTGCACGTGAAATTAATCCCTCCCCAGGAAAGCTCTGGCTATGAGTAACTACATCTAAATTTTGCTTGGAAAGCAGGACTGGGTCTGCTTGGGCCTTTCAGCAGCTAAAGGGATAGAAAATTGGGAAGAAAATAAAATCAATGTTTAAGATAGATCACTTGAAAATGATACTTATTGTAGTTCAAGTTTCATTAGACAATGAAAAAAAGTGTTTTTACTGCTTACCAAATGTTGTCAATTATCAGTGCTTTACAATTTTTTTCAATGCACAAATTGGAAAAAAAGATAGAAAACCATGACTATGGTAAACTATTCTATATATAAAACACAGTCAAGCCCATGAACTTGTACACATGTTTATATACGGAGGAACTATCTGTAGTTGGCTATAAAAAAACAGTTCCAGGAGCTGCCTTGGGGTCGGGGGTCGGGAAATAGAATTGGAGGCTGGGAATAGAAGAAGAAAGGGACTTAGTTTTCACTGTACCCTTCTGTATTTTTTTAACTATGTGCTTTACATTACCACCACAAAAAATATACAAAAACAAAAACCATCATTACAATCATCAAATATAAACAATATACAGTAAGAAGAGAAACATAAGAAAGATAGTAGGACGGCTTCCCACATGACAACCCTGGGCCATGAGACTGAACAGAGGGAGGAATCCCCGAAAACCACAAAGTGCAGCTCAGGGGACCATGTTCAGATGGACACCCACACTGTCACACCTGGCCTGGACAACTGACTCCAAGTGTGCCTGGTTCTCTACCAGGGCCACTAACTGGAGGGACCAGAATATGGCAGGTGACCTGGACCATAGAGGGAATGAGCCCCCGCCACGTGGGCCTCCACTGCCACTTTAGCAGCATGCTGGGGAAGGAAGGCCTCCCTGCTTCTCTCACCAGAAATGGCAAGGAGCATGTCCATGGCAACACCACCAGTATCAAAAATGTCTAATCACTATGGTGTACACCTGAAACTAATATAATATTATATATCAATTGTGATTGATAAAAATTATTTTAAGTGTTTGTCTATGTGCAAGTGCACAGACATGTGTTCACAGGGAGACAGTGTGTGTGTGTGTACACGTGCACGCACGGGCAGGCACCCCCGACTGCATTGGTATGTACACATGGAAGGGCAAGCATGACAGTTCACTAAGGGGCAGGAGGCTGAGGAGGTGGCTGGCAACAGCTGAGTCCTCATCTCCCTTGCACTGTGGCAGAAGAGAATCCAGAATGCGACAAAGCCATGGCACCCGAGAAACCCTCTGGGCTTCCTCCAGGGCAAGAAGTGGGGTCTAAACCAACTTTGTCTTCTGGGCCCCAGAACATTTCCCAGTGAATTCAGTTAAGTAACCCAACCCTGACTCAATCAAATGAAATGGGAGTCCAATGTTTGTTCAAAAACACCTTTGCAATGTTTTTATTTTTATTTTTTCCTTTGAAATGATTTTAGTTAACAGCTTCCAGACAGTATCTCTTCTAGCCATAGTAAGCTCTCTGTGTCGGTACCATATTAGAAGACAACTGTTTATATTCCACAGTGAGCCATCTGCCTAGAATTTATCTCAAGACAGCAAGAAGTCTTTCTCATCATAGCTGGCTACAAAAACAGTAAAACTTCATTTTGTCAAAACACAACCTAACTGAAACCCTTAGATAACGAGAAGGTATTCTTATGCTATGTTGTATGTGTGTGCACATAAAAATGGCAAAAAGGTAACCATTTATCAGGCTTATAGTGGGAAAAACAAAACTCCCCTCATTCGAACCAACCCCAAACTACTCATTGGGTGTGAGCCCGAGGGCTGACTAATACATAACACCTCGACTTTTAAGTCTATCTAGTGACAACAATATTTTTTTTACAAACTAAACTAAAACCCTGCAAAAGTCTTCATCATAGAAAAAAGCCAATATTCCTAACACAGAAGAAAGATTTCATGAAGTCCACTAGATATACTTACCAAGGCAAGAAAGTAGACTGGTGTATTTTAGATACATTTTTTCAACAGTTAGGATGAAATTAAAGGAGTCTACTTGAATCACGAAGAACCAATTAATCAGTTTTTCAGCTCCTCAGCATTCCAGCTAAGAAATATTTTCCTGCCCTGGCTGGTTGGCTCAGCGGTTAGAGTGTCAATCTGTGGACTGAAGGATCTCGGGTTCAATTCCCAGCCAACGGCACATACCTGGGTTGCAGGTTTGATCCCCAGCCCCAGTCTGGGTTGTATGGTAGGCAACCTATTGATGTGTCTCTCTCACATTGATGTTTCTCTCTCTCCTTTCCTCCCTCCCTTCCACTCTGCCTAAAAAAGCAATGGAAAAATACCTTTGGGGGAGAACTAACAAAAAAAGGAAAAAAAGAAATGTTTTCCTGTGCTTTAGCATAATTCAAAATGCTCACTAACTTTCTCCAAAATGACTCCTACACACAGACCTTGACACATATGAAGCAGCTTACCACTTCATAAAGCACTTTACTTATCCTTATCTGTCCTGTTTAGGAAAAGTTCTAGATTGAAAATAAGTAGAAGTAACAGACCAAAAATGCCAAGTGACTCAAAACACTCAGGAACTATATTAGTTGTACAAACTGCCTTTTCTCCTCCCCTCTACCATTTTCCCAAATAAGAGGAGCAGAATCACTGAAGCGGAAGAGAAAGTTCCTCTTTTTTTTTTTAATCTTCACTCGAGGACATTTTCTCATTTTTTGTTCAGGTAGAGTGGGAGAGAGAGGAAGAGAGAGAGAGAGATAGAAACATCAACGTGAAAGGGACACATCGAACGGCTGCCACCCGCATGACCAACCAGGGCCGGGGACAAACTGCAACCAAGGTACGCGCCCTTAGCGGGAACCGAACCCGGGTCTTTCTGGACCGCAGGCCGATGCTCTAACCGCCGAGGCAAACTGGCCAGGGCAAGAGAAAGTTCCTCTTTATCAAACAGTCTCTGAAGGGCCAGGAAAAATTCAGTTGGGAAGACAAAGGGGAAATCTGCTTCCTCGGTGTAGAAATCTGCTCTGCGACTACTAAGATCTTCATTTTTGTATATTAGCATTTAATACAGTTTTCATACAGACCTACACAATATCCTAGTGAAGGCGGCATATTTCTCTGGGTTAAAATCTTTGGCGGTCAGAACAATAGAAAAATGAGTCACCTGTCCAAAAGAAACAAAAAAAGCACACTTTTTAAAGACACTTTAATAGAATTAATTTTTATTACTATATTTTAACAAACCTCCTATATAAGACATACCAACATTAAAAGGAAAAGACCAAAATATGACAAAGTCCTCACTTGCTTCTTTATACTCTTATATGTATGTATAAAAGAGTTATATATACATATATATTGCATTTCCTACATAAGAATGTAATACTTTGTTAGTGTTTTTTTCAAAGACAAAAATATTTCAAATATCAAAAATGTGGATTTTTATTTTAAATCCCTTAAACTCATCCAAGTAGAACTAGGAATGTTATATCAAACCCTCCAATTTAGCAACTGTTTTTCATTAATGAAATAGAAGGATGGAAAACAAAAATATATCTCAGTAAAAGTGATACAGTTCCTGAAACAGTCCATTCTCTGTAGGTTATATAATCTAAAGGGCACTGTTATAATAAGTTTCATTTATTTATATGCCTCTATTCCTAAAAAAATAAATTTCTGATAATCATATACCCACTATTCCCATTAATGAGACAAAATTTAAAACTTTATAAAAGCAAAGCATTTAAGAAATACATTTTTAGCCCTGGCCAGTTTGGCTCAGCAGTAGAGTATCAGACTGCAGACCAATGATTCGCAGGTTCAACTCTGGTCAAGAGCATGTACCTCGTTCGGTTGCAGTTTGTCCCTGGCCTTGGTTGGGTCATGCAGGTGGCAGCCACTCGATGTGTTCCTTTCACATCAAAGTTTCTTTCTCTCTCTCTTCCTCTCTCTCCCTCCTGCTCTATCTGAATAAAAAATGGAAAAATGTCCTTGGGTGAGGATAAAAAAAAAAGAGCATGTACCTTGGTTGCGGTTTGTCCCTGGTCTTGGTCCTGGTCGGGGTTGTGCGGGAGGCAACCAATTGATGTGTCTCTCTCACATTGATGTTTCTCTCTGTCTCTCTCTCCCTGCCCACTCTATCTGAGGATAAACAGAAGAATATCCTCAGGTGAGGATTAAAAAAAAGAAAGAAATACATTTTTAGTCCCTGGCCAGGTGGCTCAGTTGGTTGGCACATCGTCCCATGCACTAAAAGGTTGCATACCTAGGTCCCATGCACTAAAAGGTTGCATACCTAGGTCAGGGTGCATACCTAGGTTGTGGGTTTGATCCCCTATTATGTTGCGTGTGGGAGGCAACTGATCAATGTTTCTGATCAATGTTTCTTTCTCTCTCTCTTAAAAACAACAGCAGCAGCCCGGCTGGTGTGGCTCAGTGATTGAGTGTCAACCCATGCACCAAGAGGTCACCAGTTCGATTCTCGGTCAGGGCACATGCTCAGGTTGTGGGCCAGATCTCCTGTGGGGGGCATGCAGGAGGCGGCCAATCAATGTGCTCTTTCATCAATGTTTCTACCTCTCTCTCTTTCTCCCTTCCTCTCTAAAGTCAATAGAGAAAAAAAATTAAAAACTACGATGACAAAAATCATATCCTCAGTTGAGGGTAAAAATAAGATACATTTTTTGCCCTGGCTGGTTTGGCTCAGTGGTTAGAGTGATGGCCCGCAGACCAGAGAGGCCCAGGTTCAGTTCCTGCTAAGGGCACATACCTTGGTTGCAGTTTGTCCCCAGCCCCAGTTGGGGCCCTGTGGATGGCGATCAGTCAATGTGTCTCTCTCACATTGATGTCTCTCTCTCTCTCTTTCTCTCTCTTCCTCCCTCTTTCCCTCCCACTATATCTAAAGATAAATGCAAAAAAAAAAAAAAGATACATTTAAAATTTTTTTTTATCCTCAGAAAAATGAACATCTTTTCATTTTTTGTTCAGATAGAGTAAGAGGATACATCAAGATTTTTCAGTAAGAACTTAATGAAACAAACTGGGGACAGGGCAGGGAGGGAGGGGGAGGGGGAATCAGTGGGGGGAAAAGGAGAAACATCTGTAACAAAAATTAATTAATAAAAATAAATAAATAAATTTTAAAAAAATAACTTAATGAACATAAACCAAAGATTTTATAATATGTGGCAAACTATCTCTTTGCAAATTTATACTTTCTAATTATAAATTTGTTTTGTATTAAACCTCTAACAGTTTCTAAATTGTTGTCTTCCTATTATTTTAAATGTAATTCCTTAAATTTAAACTGATATCCTAAACATGCTTCATACAGTCTGCTTTTTGACTATAAAATTATCCCTGAAAATGGAAAAGTCCCCACCCAGGAACATGCCAGGAGCTCAGCCACTTCTCCACAATATTATTTTCTTGGAAAAAATCTGCTGGTTGTTTGGGACTGGGAAGCTCACAAGGACCATATAGTGATTTTCAACATGTCACATTGACCCTGTCCATATTAAATGACACAACAAAAAACCTACTGAGTCCATGAGTTTCCTTAATTCTCCTTTCTATTCTTAACATAGCCTTACCATCCAGCCACAAATATAAATAAAAGTTTTCTTAACTATGCCAAGGATAATTATATTCTCTAAAATAGTTTTTGATGGAAAAAATAGTTCTTCACACTTCTAATCAGAGGCATTACTTTGAAACTACTACGTTTCTACTCCATCAGAGTATAACCTGAACAAGGCTTCACTATACCAACCACAGGGTCAGTCATATACACACCAACCAACATTTATAGGATGAATGAGAGTGAAGCATGAAAGAGAAAATTCCCAACGAAAACTGTATTTAATGTTTTGCAAAAGTATACTATGAATGATAAAATCTAAAGCTAAGGGTTACTGAAATAATCTTACATCACTAAATATTTTTGGTTTTTTGACCTTTGTGCAGTCATACCTTTTTTAAAACTGAAGAATCTGGAACTTCAACTGTTGTGATATAAAACCAAGTTCTTCTGTACTGACCAAAGACGAAGGGATGGAGGAGTTTGTTTTCATCTGTAAGGCAGCATTTCCTCAGCAGCAGATTCCTTAGAGTAGCTGTCGTGGAAGGATAACACCATACCCACAGAACTTCTCCATTTGTGTCCTTTTCTACGGTGGAAAGATGGTCACTGTGAGAATGTCAAACAGCAGCAAGGAAGTGAATTGATTGGTTACTCAGAAGCACTTAGTGGAATCACTTAACATCCCATTTTACAAAGCAACCCAGAGCACATAAAACCCTAATTCTCACCTACCTCTATTGCTCAAATTACCTAGCTCTCCTAACCTTGAATTTTAGGCTACCTGAGTAAATCATGTTACGTACTGATTGTGCAAATTCTATATTTAAAATTTTAATAATAGCACTGGCCAGTGTGGCTCAAAGGTTAGAGTGTTGGCTCTCGCACCAAAGGGTGGAAGGTTCAATCCCCAGCCCCAGTTGGGGCATGTGCGGGAGGCAACCAATCGATGTGTCTCTCTCACAGTGATGTTTCTCTCTACTCTCTCTCTTTCCCCTACTCCCTCCCACTCTCTCTAAAAATCTGTGGAAAATATATCTTCGGGTGAGAATTAACAACAACAAAATTAAATAATAATAATAAAGGTTATCCAATCACATCAAAGTAAACACCTCAATAACAAAAGGAGCAATCTACTACTAATAAAAACTCTAAGCAAAAATGGCCTAAATTTTACAGAAAGTTACTGCACAGACAGAAGAATCTAGATTTTAATCTATAGACTTAAAAAAAAAAACTTATAGAAAATATCAAGTATATAAAAAAGCAGAGAGAATAATAAAATTCCCCCATCTCCATCACTCATCACTCAGCTTCAGCAATTATCAACATCTGGCCCACCTTGTTTCATTAAAGGGGAGGGTGGTTCCTCTCCAATTATTTTGAAGCAAATCCCTTTATTTTTCAAGTCCATGTGAAAAATAAAAAACCTGCTGAACTGAAAATTACCAAATTAAGTCAGAGTTTAACTCAGCCTTAATTCAGAAGTACTTCAGGCAGGACTAAGATGCTTGAGCTACTTAGGTATTGCTTTGAAGCAGGGTTTTTGTTTGTTTGTTTGTTTGTTTGTTTTTTGAGGGCAACAAGCATTCATTTCAGATAAAAAAGAATCACTATTTGGGAAGCACTGATTCAGGGAAAACCCCAATAGTACTCAGATTTAGGAGACCAAGGCCAGGGGTAGTTAGGAGAAAGGGAAGGGGAACAATTACATCCATAGAAGGAAGGCATTTCTGTGGGTTCAGATAATGAAGCAGTTTTAAGATCATACTAAGAAATGTTCAGCCCTGGCCAGTTTGGCTCAGTGGTTAGAGAGTTGACTCTTGGACTGAAGGAAGGGTCTTGGTTTCAATTCCCTGGTCAAGGGCGTGTACCTGGGTTGCAGGTTCTATCTCCTGCCCCAGTAGGGGCCCTGCTCCAGGCAACCTCTCAATGTGTCACTTCTTTCTCTCTTTTTTCCCTCTCCCCTCTCCCTCTCCCCTCTCCTTCCCCCCTCCCCCCCCCCTTCCCACTCTATCTAAAACTCAATGGAAAAATATCTGCGGGTGAGGATTAACAACAACAACAAAATTTTTCAGATGGGTACGAGATTTATCAGATGATCACTTAATAAATTATATAATGTCTGATCACTGGGGTGTACACTTAAAACTAATATAATAGTGTATGTCAACTGTAATTGAAAAGTATAAAAATAATATAAATAGAAAGAAAGAAATGAATACAGGAAGCCATTTCCAGATAAATGTACTTCTTTGAGGCACTAAAAAGTAATCAACACATTTCACCAGTTTTTCTCAACCCAAGCAATGTTCTTGTATACACTAGGGAAACAGAGTATTTAGAAGTTTGCAAAAATCTCAATTGAATACCTTTTCAAAGGACAACGGCAGGCAGCGAACCGACAGACGTTCACTCAAGAACCCCGTGCTCGAGGACGCCTATCAAATGAATGGTTCCTTGAAACACCCAACCCAGAAACACTGCACATATTCTGGGCTGCTCAACGATCTCAACATACTTCCTCATCCATTAATTCCTCAAAACCAACGGGATCCCACCCAGTGTGATTAAGCAGACACCCGTGCTACGTGCACAAGCTCTATCGTACGATGCAGGAGTCCTCCACTGGCTGAATTCGGGGCTCTCCGGCTGGACTGTGTCGGCTCCAGTCCTGACTCCGCCACTTTCTGGCGTGCACTGGTACACAAACGACAGCCTGGGCCTCCAGCTATCCCTCTGCAAAGTGTGCATCAAACGTTACCCACAGCCCCCTGGCGCCGAGGTGAGCGTCCGACCGAGGTGATCCAAGCATAATGCGGCACTCGGGGCTGGTACCGTTGGCCACCAGGTCTCGAACCGCGCGATCACGTGATCCAGGCCACCCGGGCGCCAGACGACAAGTCAAGCCTGGCTCCCCACTCTCCGAGGGACCCCAGCCCTGCCGCCTCCCCGCCGTGCCGCCCGAGAGCGGCTCTCGGCCCAGCCGGGGTCCCTCCCGCGCAGCGGCCCGCTCGCAGCGAGGGAGCTCGGCCACCTTCCACGTCCGGGCTCGTCTGCGGCCCGGGGCGTCCAGGAGGAGCTCCCGTCCCCGGACCTAGGTGGCCCGAGAGGTCCCTCCGCCCCACCGCCCGACCCCAGCGGGCGCCCCGCGAGGCTGCGGGCCGAAGGGCCCAGGGCCGCTGGTTGAACCCCCGCGCTGAGGAGGCCGGGCCGCGCAGCTCCCCACCCAGGCCCAACGTGGAAGGGTTCGCGCCTTCCCCATCGCGGGCGGCGGGGACAGGGGCCGCCCCGGGCCCAGGCAGAGGCGGAACTGGGGTGCGGGCCTGCGGGACAGGGCGCCTGTGTCCTCACCGATCAGCCCGACTCCCAGCATCAGCTGAGTGTCGGTCGCCTCAGCCGCAGCCATCTTCCGCCGCCGCCGCCGCCGCCGCAGCGCGCTGCTCCCAGCTCCCAGCTCCCCGCTCGCAGGCTCCGCCCCCTCTTCCAGGTCCCGCCCACCCATTGGTCCCACCCACAGTCAGGCCCCGCCCCTGACCTGGAGGCCGCGCCCCCGCCACGCTCCCATGGCCTTCCTCCCAGTCCTCCATTTACCTAGTGCCCTTGGCCCTTCTCCCTCAGCAATCTCCCTCAGGCTCCGCAGCTGCCCAGTTTCTCTAACCCAGATTTTCATCCGCCTTTTCTTCAACCCACTCTAATCTCCACTCAGGCTTTCCTCATTCTACCTCTGCGAAAAAGAGGCGTCCTGAGGATGGACGAAGGGTCTTCATGCATGCATGCATTTATTCGTCTATCTATTCCCAAAACAAAAGAATAATTGAGAACTGAAAATGGCTTTGGAAATATGGTGTTGACAAGACACAGCATCCCAGTGGTGAGAGACGCGCAATTACCTAGTAAAATGCTACTAAAACAGCCCAGAGTCATAAATCCATTGCAATAAAATAATACATAGTTCAATGTGTTAGAGTGGGTACAGGAGTGCTGCTTTAAAAGGGGCGTCAAGGCCCGGCCGGTGTGGCTCAGGGGTTTAGCGTGGACCCATGCACCAAGAGGTCACCGGTTCGATTCCTGGTCAGGGCACATGCCCAGGTTGTGGGCCTGATCCCTAGTGGGGGCATGCAGGAGGCAGCCAGTCGATGTTTCTCTCTCTCTCATCTATGTTTCTCTCTCTCTCCCCCTCTGCCTTTCATTCTCTCTAAAATCAATAAAGAAAAATAATAAAAAATAAAATGGGCGTCAAGGAAGGCTTCTCTGAAGAAGGGTATTTGAACCGAGCTCTGAATGATGGAAAGGAGCCAGTTTGGGTGGCTCAAATCCTTCTGGATCCTCTGTACCTCCATGCCCAAATCACACAAAACTAATTAGGGAGGGTCCTTGCTGTCTACAGGAATACAATCTCACTCTCATGTCGTTTAATATTTTCGAAAGTGTTTAAAATATTTCATACATTCATACCAATCTAAGCATGTGGTTGTGGCTCAACTTCATAGTTATTATATGTTGTTTCTTTTCATATATATATATATATATATATATATATATTTTTTTTTATCCTCACCCAAGGACATTTTTCCATTTTTTGTTCAGGTAGAGTGGGAGAGAGAGAGAGGAACAGAGAGAGAGAGAAACATCGATGTGAAGGGACACATCGAGTGGCTGCCACCCGCACAACCAACCAGGGCCGGGGACAAGCTGCAACCGAGGCACGCGCCCCTAGCAGGAACCGAACCCGGGTCTCTCAGGACCGCAGGCCGACGCTCTAACCGCTGAACCAAACCGGCCAGGGCTCATTTATATTTGAGAGAGAGAGGACGGGAGAGAGAAATAGAAACATCAGTGAGAGAGAGAAACATCAATCGGCGGCCTCCCCCTACTGAGGATTGAGCCCGAAACTGCATGTGCCCTGACCTGGAATTGAGCCGGGACCTCTCAGTCCATGGGACTGACACGCACACCACTGAACCACACCAGCCAAGCCCATAGTTGTTATAAATGTAGCTGAAGCACTTCCCTTTTCTTCCCTAATCTCCTTCCCCTTTCTACTACACAGAGGGAACCACTATTCCAAATTTGGTAGTGGTCATTTTACTAAATGTTTTTAACCTTTGGTATATGTGTATGTTTCACTCAACAAAATACTGTACTCCTTTTAAAATTTTACACAATGCAACAATAGCTAACATTTACTGAATGGCAGGCACTGTTCTACGTGTTTTACTTGTATTACTTCCTTAAGTCTTCACTATACCTTTGTATATAAATCCTATTATGACCCCCGGTTTACAGGTGAGAAAGTGGAAAGGTAGCACAGTTGACTCAGAATCACACGACTTGCAAGTGGCAGTGACAGGATGTGGACCCAAACAGTGGGACTCCAGCCATGTACCAGATCACTGTGCTACCCAGCCTCCTGTTCTGTAGCATACTGTTTGTAATAGTTTGTACAATGCTTTTCCCACCTCAAATTTATGTTTTTACAGACTTATCAAAGTTAATCAAGTTCTGGTTCAATAATTTTAACTGTTGAGTATGAATATATGTATGATTCGTTTTATTGTCTGTTAATGGACATTAATTTGTTTCCTGTTTTTCACTTTATCATCAGTGATGCTATATTTTGAACAAGTCTTCTTGTTCTACCTGCTCTCTACCTTGGGAAATTCTGTATCATGAAGGCTCAAATGCCGTTTTTTTCCCTAAACACAGGCAAAACTAATTTCTCCCTCTTCCAGAGTCTTATAGCATTTGGCCATAGAGCTAGAAATGGAGTATATTTAAGTGTGTATATGGTTCTTCTGTTTCTCCCTTTGGACTAAACTCCTGGAGGGAAGCATCCTGAGCTATGCACCTTTGGTTTCTCTGTACTTACTATTATAGTAAATAATTGTTAATATTTCTAATTCTTACAGAAAATTAGGGGCTGAGGAGTGGGACACAGATTCAGAATCAGTTTGGAAGCCAAAAAACATTTGCACTCATGTTTCATTGGCCTTTGTAATTTCCAGCAAGGTTTTACAGATAATTAGATCCTCTCATGGATTTACTTTAACAACCTCAACAATACATCAGCCTGCATCAGTCTGTACATCAAATACCTACTTTGGTGAAACACTTACACTTGCACACAAATACTCATGTGCCAGGGATAGCGACAGTGAAAATCACTTTACTATCTATTAATAAACTGAAAAAATGATGGTATATTCCATATTATAGAATGCTATGAAGTCATTGAGAGAGGCAGACATATTTGTACTCACTCACTACAATCCTTTATGTGTGTAAAACTCCAAGCTTATATGTATTTTATATCTATGAATGGAGACATGCACACCCAACTGCTGACAATGGTTAACTCAGAGGAAGGGTGTAGAGGAACAGTGTGAAGGAAGGTTTGGGACTGTGCACTGGTGTGAAGGTGGAGTAGAGGTATAGTGACCACCGCATTGTAAAGGTGTCTTAAGACCAAAAAATGAAGCATGCAAATTCATTGACTACAACAGAATTTATTGTAAGGTAATTTACTTACAAGGAAGATTGGGTTGAACTGGAAAAGATGACCCAACAGTCTGCACAGATTATTATCCACCACTACAGTTGTTAAGTAAATGTTTTATAGTATAGCTGAACTACTAATGATTCACAAGGCAAAGGGACAAAGAATGTAGCTTGAGCCAGGAACCATACCTCCTGATGGTCTTATGATGGATAACTGCTTATAATTGATGCCAGTGCCTAGTTTGATATTTATTTCAGTTGCTATGCCATTCTGGCCATTTAATGACAGGTATCATGGTTACGGGACACAGCTAATTGTTGACTATGAGGCTTTGGTGCTGGCTGAGACTAGTTAGAGTCCTCAGCATGAAAACCAGGAAGAAATTGGGGGGGCACACAATGATGGGGTCAGCTTTATTTACATTGACATATTTACAGTACCTCAAACACTGTGAATTACATAATAAAAATGCCAATATATTTAGAAATGTATTATATAAATGTCTATATTTACAAATACTTATATATGTATATATTTAATACATAATGCCTATTAAATTTACTATATATAAGGTCCATAACTATAAAAAATGTCATTGAGCTGGCTGGTGTGGCTCAGTGGTTGAGCGTCGACCCATGCACCAAGAGGTCACCAGTTTGATTCCCAGTCAGGGACCATGACAAGGTTATGAGCCCAGTCCCTGGTGGGGGGCATGCAAGAGGCGGTCAATTGATGTTCTCTCTCATCGATGTTTCTCTCTCTCTCTCCCTCTCCCTTCCTCTCTCTAAAATAAGAAAAAAAAATTTTTAATGTCCTTGAAGATATTAAAATTCTAATTACAGATGCTAAGGCCAGTGTTTTATTCTTTGACACTGTGATGTTACAGAGAAATTATTCTTGTGCTCCTGTTCAGCTCAATCATTCATTCTTTTTTTTTTTCTTTACTGATTTTAGAGAGAGGAAGGGAGAGGGAGAAAGAGATAGAAACATCGATGAGAGAGAACATCAATTGGCTGCCTTCTGCATGCCCCCCCCCCAGGGATTAGGCCCAAAACCTGGGCACGTGCCCTGACCAGGGATCAAACTGGTAACCTCTTGGTGCATGGGTCGACGCCCAACCAGTGAGCCACACTGGTCAGGCAATCATGTATTCTTAATCTTTAGTCATCATTTATATTATTTCATTTTCTTTTTTCCAGTTCCCTTGAATTATAGTGCCTCTGTTACTGGTTTCTAAGAACATGTTTAGGACTAAAGATGTTAACTATTTCTCATGTTTTTTGTTATTATTTTACTGTGATGTTTTATTTTTTGGTTGTACCAAAGTTGTGTATTAAATATAATCATGTTCTGTGTTTGAAAAATGGTTTTCTCTAGGTAGGTAAGGCTAGCAATTCTTTTCTTCCCCCTTTTACTTTTATTTCACAATTTTTTTTTTATCCTCACTTGAGGACACTTTTTTTCTTTTTTTGCATTTATCTTCCTATAGAGTGAGAGGGAGAGAGGGAGGAGGAGAGAGAAAGAAACATGGAAGTGAAAGAGACACATCGAGTGGTTGCCACCCACATGACCCCAACCGGGGGCCGGGGACAAAGTACAACCAAGGTACGTGCCCTTAGTAGGAACTGAACCCAGGACTCTCTGGTTCACCGGCCGACACTCTAACCGCTGAGCCAAACCGGCAGGGCTTATTTTACAATTAAAAAAAAAAAAAAAAAAAAATTGTATTCATTGCTTCCAATAGCTCAAATTTTAAAATCTCTGAAACTGAGGTAAGTCCTACAATTATAATTGGGAGTGTTTTTTTTCTTCTTAATGGTACACAAAATGATGTGTTCACTCATTGATGGCATTTCTAGATTTGATAAAACATGGTTAAAAAAAAAAAAAAAAAGAGAGAGAGGGAGAAAATA